GTCTCGGCTTCCCAAAGTGCTGGGATTACAGGCTTGAGCCACCGCGCCCGGCCTGCACCATCTTACTGATGGGAACGCATAGGCTTTAGGAGGTGAAGTGTGTCACGCAAAAGACAGCCTTCATGGCAGAGCCGGCATCTGCACCCAGAGTCTGAACTCTGTGCAGTACATCCCATTGCCAGAGGACAGAGGGGAGGAGCAGAGGAGTAACTGGACAGAGTGGGGTTCATATCCTGCTTCCCGGGAGACCCCCATGTGTTGCGTGACCTCGGGAAAGTTTGTTCACCTCATTGTCCTCATCTGTGTAGTGGGCAGAGCCAAACGATGCCCGGTGCGGCTTGGATGAGATGAGGGGTGTGGGGCTCCTGGCATGATGCCGGACATGGCAGTGCTCGCTCGGCCAGCGATTAGGGCTCGGGTGAACAGATGCCAGCCGGCTGGGCTCTCCACCCCTCACCTCTGCGGTGCTGCCTGCTCCAGGTGCCGCCATGCTGCCATTGCCAAGTACTTCGGGGATGCGCCGCCTGCCTGCGCCAGAGGCTGCGACCACTGCCAGAACCCCATGGCCGTGCGGAGGCAGCTGGAGGCCTTGGAGCGCAGCAGCAGTTGGAGCAAGACCTGCATCGGGCCCTCCCAGGGGAATGGCTTTGACCCCGAGCTGTATGAGGGAGGCCGCAAGGGCTACGGGGGCTTCAGCAGGTAAGGGGCCAAGAAGCCAGGGACTCTAACCCACTGGAATCGTCCGGCATTCCCTTGGCGCTAAGGCCAGACCAGAGGTGCTACGATGCTGCAGTCCCCCCTTGAGCTGGTAGGACATCAGGGACATTGCCATCCTAGCAGCAGCACACATGGGGAGGGCAGAGTCCAGGCCAGGGCCACTCATGCCTGGCCTGTCCCTAGATACGACGAAGGTTCTGGAGGCAGCGGGGATGAAGGCAGAGATGAGGCCCACAAGCGGGAGTGGAACCTCTTCTATCAGAAGCAGATGCAGCTGCGCAAGGTGAGGGGAGGCGCTCGGTGGCCTGTGCGGGGCCCCTGGTGGCCCCCTGCTCGCACCTCTCAGCTCCTTCTCTGGTGCTGGATGGGACTGTCCTGTGGCAGGGCAGGACGCCTCATGGACCCTTCATGTTGTCCTCCAGGGCAAAGACCCCAAGATAGAAGAATTTGTACCCCCAGGTCAGTACAAAAATGTTCCTAGAGGCTTGCGGGCTCTTCCCGGGGCATGGAGGGAGGATTCTCATCTGGGGCGTGGGGGACCTCAGAGTGCAGAAGGTGGAATGAAAAGACCAAGGACCTCCCCCCGCAACAGATGAGAACTGTCCCCTGAAAGAGGCTTGTAGCAGGAGGATCCCCAGGCTGACTGTGAAGGTAAGAGACGGGCAGCTCCTCAGACACCCCCTAGGGCCGTCCCCCAGCCTCGAGGCCGTGTGACCAATCTTACTCTCCTGTGCCAGGCACGGGAACACTGCCTGGGGCTTCTGGAGGAGGCGCTGAGCAGTAACCGCCAGTCCACATGTACCACTGATGAGTGAGTTCCACAGTCACTGGGCAGAGGAGCCCTCCAAGCTCTCGTTCCCTTGGAGACTGCAGGACCCTATCAACCCTGGCCTGTTTGGGCCACCTCTCCCCAGATTGTACCTCTCCTACTCCAGGGGACTGCCCCTAAACCCCACCAGGGCCAGACATGGCTGCAACTTAGGTGCTGCCAGCAGCTGCTGAGGGACAGTAAACCACAGGGTGCCCAGAGAGTCCTAGTCAGAATCCCTGTGCCCAAGGCCTACCCCACCAGGCCTCGAGTCCCACAGGAGCTTGGCAGGGAGAAGCCCAGGACCACCTGATACCTTGTGCCGGTTACCTTGCACCCACAGAGCTGACCTCCGGGCCAAGGCCGTGGAGCTGGAACATGAGACATTCCGGAATGCTAAGGTGGCCAACCTGTACAAGGCCAGCGTGCTGAAGAAGGTGGGCCTGGTGCAGGCGGACCAAGGGTTGTTGCAGGGGCCTCTCCATGCTCTGAGGCAGAAGCTGTCTGCCAGCTCTCCGGGCACGGGCACCCCAGAACCCACCCTCCCCAGCCCACCCCAGAGACAGTTTATGGGGGTAGAGCTCCATTCTCCATTAGCCGGAGGTGTTTTTAGCCAACCCTGTGAGGATGGGAGGCCTAAAACTTGTCCAGTAGTTAGTTGTCTGCAGCCACTGGCCACAGAAACCCACTTCTAGTGCCTAGTGGAAAAGGAGGGCTGGGTGGGGCATGTCAGGAGGAGCTGGCGGGTGCCACAGCCTCCCTGCCCATCCCTGCCCAGGTGGCTGATATCCACAGAGCCTCCAAGGATGGGCAGCCCTATGACGTGGGAGGCAGTGCCAACAGCTGCAGTGCCCAAGCTGCGCCCCCCGAGCCCAATGAGTATGACATCCCACCGGCCTCCCATGTGTACTCGGTGAGCTGTGGCCCAGTGGCCTCCAGACCTGTGACCAGGAAAGGCTCCACTTCCCCTCTGCCCTCAGGGGTGCACCTCTTGCCATGGCCTGGCTCCCCACCAGGGTCCTGCCTGCCTCTTCCCTCCCACACTCCTGAGAGCCCCGGCCCAATGTGAGCGACTGGTCCAGCCAGCGGAGCCCTCGACGGGGCCTGGTGGGCTGAACCTCCTCTCCTCCTGCTCACATTTACAGCTCAAACCCAAGCGGGTAGGAGCTGGTTTCCCCAAAGGCTCCTGCCCGTTCCAGACGGCCACGGAACTGATGGAGACGACTCGGATCAGGGAGCAAGCCCCCCAGCCCAAGCGGGGAGGCGAGCATGAGCCCCCGAGCCGGCCCTGTGGCCTCTTGGATGAGGACAGGAGTGAGCCCCTCCCTGGGCCCAGAGGGGAGGTCCCTGGAGGCAGCGCTCACTGTGGAGGGCCCTCCCCTGAGAAGAAGGCAAAAAGTTCCTCTGGGGGCAGTTCCCTTGCCAAGGGCCGGGCTAGCAAGAAACAGCAGCTCCTAGCCGCAGCGGCCCACAAGGATTCTCAGAGCATCGCCCGCTTCTTCTGCCGAAGGGAGGAAAGCCCAGCTCTGCTGGCCTCAGCCCCAGAGGCAGAAGGTGCCTGCCCCTCCTGTGAGGGGGTTCAGGGACCACTGATGGCCCCAGAGAAATACACAGGGGAGGAAGATGGAGCCGGGGGACGTTTGCCTGCCCCTCCCCAGACTGAAGAGTGCCTCAGGGAGAGGCCAAGGTAAGGGTAGAGGTAGTCACAGAATCTTCTGGAATCCACATGGCAGCATCCCCTTTGCTCCCTGGGCGTCTGAAGCTCAGAGCTCATCCCTAAGATGGGCTCTCCTAGGCCTCCTAGGATGAGGGAGCCGCTAGGACCCAGAGCTGTGATGCCTGCTCTTCCCTCCACCAGCACCTGCCTGCCCAGAGATCAGGGCACCCCTGAAGTCCAGCCCACCCCTGCAAAGGACACATGGAAGGGCAAGCGGCCTCCATCCCAGCAGGTGCCGGCAGGGATGAGGCCGTTGGGAAGGAGAGAAGGGCTGTGGGCGAGGCCAGGAGCTGTTGTGCCCTGGTCAAGGGGTCAGGGAAAATCAGCGCTTCTTTCCACACCCGGCGGCAGATGGGCTGGGCTGGTGTGGGGGTGGCTGGTGTGGGGGCCTAGTCTTTGGAGGAGGGGAGCAGGTCAGTGGAAGGGAACTCAGGAGTGACCCTCTGCTGTGGCCCTTCTCAGGAGAACCCAGAGAGCCAGCCTCAGAAAAGACTGCGCCCCTCAGCCAAGCCCTCCGTCTTAGCCGAGGTCAAGGGCAGCGTCTTGGCCAGCGATCAGGGCACCTTGAATCCCACAGCTCAAGACCCCTGTCAGCTCTCAGCTTCTGGCATCTCCTTGAAGGAGGCTGCAAATGTTGTGGTCAAGTGCCTGACCCCTTTCTACAAGGAGGGCAAGTTTGCTTCCAAGGTAGGGGGAGTGGGTGGGCTCTGCCTTCTCCCAGGCCTGGGGTATGTGGGTGTCGTGGGGGCGCGAGGCAGGGAGTGTGAGCCCCAGAACACGGTGGGCCAGAGCAGGCTGGGCCAGGGCCAGTCCCGCACCCGTCCTCCCTGGGGCCTGCCTTGCCGTCGGGTCGTGGCTGTGGGTCGCTCTGGGGGTCAGGGCAGGGTCCTGCTCTCTGCTTCTCTTCTGCCTCTCCCTTCCAGGAGGTGTTTAAAGGCTTCGCCCGCCACCTCTCACACTTGCTGACTCAGAAGTCCTCTCCTGGAAGGAGCGGTGAGCGCTGGCATTGCCAGGGCCAGGAGGCAGTTGGGAGGGTGGTCTACAGGGAGGAGGCTGACACTCGCGTCATGCCCCCACCCTGAATCTGTAGTGAAAGAAGAGGCCCAGAACCTCATCAGGCACTTCTTCCATGGCCGGGCTCGGTGTGAGAGTGAAGCTGACTGGCACGGCCTGTGTGACCCCCAGAGATGACCAGCTGGTGGCTGGGCAAGGCCCGCGTCCTCCACCAGATTCTAGCATGGGCCAGCCTGGGCCTCTCGCCTGCTTCTCTGAGTCCTTCTCCCTTCCAACCATACTTGGCTTTGGGGATGACCCCAGACACCCCCTGAACCCAGGTCAGAGGTCAGCCCACCTTTCTTTCTGCTTGCAAAGCCTATAGACCCTTCTCAGAGCCTCCCTGCCTCTCCTGGCCCTCATGGCTGGGTTTTCTAGGACACATGTCCGGGACAGAAGGTGGAGGGTGGTGGAGCTGCTGCCAGAAGAAGGTGAAGGAAGAGTGGCCCCTCCCCGAGTTTTAAGTCAGGACAAGGCCCACCTGTCCAAGGTATTGGGACCTATTCAGGGGAACCTCAGGTCCTCCACCCACTCCCCATCCATTACGATGCCAGCTTCCAGCCTTGCCCAGGTCAGAGCTGTGGCAGAGGAAAGGCAGCCAGGCCCCGTTTCTGCTCGGCTCCTGCTCAGGAAGGCCAGGCCGGACGAGGTGTTTGGGAGGGGAATAAAGTCGTGTGATGGCGCATGCACTCATGCACACAGCCCTTTTCTCCGGGGAGTTTTATTTCCTCAGCAGCTGTTTCTCCCATGCCTGGGATTGTGCTAATGTGGGGCCTGGGCGGAGCCTGGGGCCGGTGGGCGTCTCCCTCAGACTGGGCAACCTCAGATTGCCCAGGCGAGTTCCTGCAGCCCTCTTTGGGCCCAGGCCGTCCTGGAGGGGCTCTGGCTGTTTTCTTTGCCTGTTGGTGACATGATAGCAGCCCCTGCCTCATGGCCTGCATGTGGGCCAGCTGGGCTGTGCTGTGGCAGGTTCTGGAACAGTGATCTGATAGCATCCAAGGCAGACCACCTGGGTGAGACTTGGGCCAGGGGAGGCCTCACCCTCGTCTCTCCCTGGCCTACACTCCTCTCAGTTGACGCTGGGCCACTCAGTGCAAGAGGCACTGCTGTCTATCAGGAAGACAGTGGTGTATAGCAGCTCCTGGGCCTGCCCAGAGAAAGGCCTGTTACAAGAGGGCTCCCCAACCAGCCTCTCGCCTCTGCCCCGGCCCACAGCACTCCCGAGCAGTGGGCATCGGCCTGGGCCTGGGCTCCCACTGCATGCCATGCTGGGGCGAGGCCCTCACATCCACCTTTCCAAGGTGGCCAGAGGCCTGGCCACTCACCTGTGGCAGCTCAAACCAGATGGTCTGGGGGTTGTCAGCTGAGCCATAGTTGAGTTCCAGGCCAGGGGGCCCCTTCTCCTCCAGTGGGCTTAGCAGGTGGAGCCGCTGCAGGCTCTTCAGGGCAATGCGACAGTACAGATTCTGCGGGCAGCAGAGAGCAGGGCTGGTCTCGTCTCCAGGGAGGGGTCACTGTGGGTGATGGAATGGCCCAAGGGTCCCTCGGCCAGAGCTGGGGCAAGAGCCCTGCCCACCTGGGAGCTGGGGTCCATGAGGATGAGATGCTGGCGGTTGAGCCCCAGGAGAGCGGGTCCCGACAGGGCCTGCATGCTCACTCTCAGCGCTACGTAGACGGTATAGCCGAAGAGGGGCAGCTGGCTCACGGCCTCTGCGGGTGGAGAGGGTGCAGGCAGGAATTCTGACTGCTAGGGCCCTGGAACCTGCGCTGCTTGGCCCCTCAGGTCAGCTGAGAGGGACAGGGCAGGTGCAGACCCCTCCTCGCCCCTCTACCTGCATTCCTTCCCTCTTGGCCTCCAGCCCCCACCCCAGCGGTCCCAGCCCCAGACCCACCAATGAAGCTGATCTGTGCTTCCTGGGGGCTGTGTCCTCCCAGCTGTCTCAGCTCCTGACCCATCAGGTTCTTGATGGAGGCCATGTTCACCTGCCGTTGCAGCTGCTGTGGCACATAAGCTAGCAGGTCCTGCCTAGGATGCGGGGCCGGGGTCAGTTTGGCCCCTGACCACCTGGTACAGGGCTGGGCATACAGCATGTGCCAAATAACTGAACCAGTGCCTATTGTGGGCAAGACTAGGGATCCATACACATAAATGAGGTGAGGGCCCTGAACCAGAGGAGCTCACGGTGGGGTGAAGAGGACAGATGTCCACCAGGCCCCGCTGCTCTGGGCCAGTCCAGTTAGGGCCAGGAAGGGTACCAGTCAAATGGCCTTGACCTTGGAGAAGGAGAGGGGCTTAGGGGCGGGAGGTTCCCCCACTCACTCTGAGGGAGTGTTCCCGTTGGCCTTGCTGAGGTGCTGCAGGGCGGCCAGCCTGGCGAGCTGCGCGTCCGCCTTGGCGCTGACCGGCAGCTTCCCCTGGAGGTAGTCCCGCAGCACCTGTGCGGGGAGCATGGTGAGGAGAGCAGAGGTGGCCCAAAGCCCCCATCAGTTGGTGGCTCTAGGGGCTCAAGCCTAGTTTTGCCACCGTCACCCCCCAGCCACCACAGACCCACACCCTTGTGGGGAGGGGGGCTTGGAAGTCGCCCAGGCAGGAAGCCGCGCCCTCAAACTGCAGCAGCGGCTCGGAGGCAGGCAGGCTGACCTGGCTGTAGTGGGTGCTGATGTAGATGGAGTTATCGAAGTGCAGTGGGGTCTCCCAGCCGAGCCGCCGGCTGTGCAGGCTCACGTCCTGGTCCACTGCCACACTGTTGAGGTATTCAGCAGGCCGCAGGGGCCGCACCAGCTTGCCTGCATGGGGACCCTAGGTCCATCGCTGCTCAGACCACGCACACCCCACCCTGCCACCCCAGCAGAAACCAAACCACCTCACCCCCGGGCGGGGGAGGGGCCCCACAATGAGGCTCCGTCCCCAAGCTCACCCTTCTCTTTGATGAGGAAGAGGGTGAATTCCTGCACTTCCTGAGGCTCTGTGATGCCCATTTGCTGGCACAGCTCCTCCTGCACTTCTGCTGCCACCTGGGCATGTGGACAGGCTGTGATGAGGGGGAGGGACGCTGGAGGGCCCAGAACTGATGCCCAAGGCCGCCTCCCTTGGTGACCCCCAAGCTCACCGTGAAAGTATGGATATTCGTCCTATAATCCACACCTCCTGGCAGGTGAATAAGAAGCAGGCGAGTGGCTTGTCCTTTCTGCCAAGGCAGGTTGCAGGGTCAGTCAGCCAGTGGTCAGTCGGCCAGTGGTCTCCTGTGGGGGACACCCCCCTACCCCAGGGTGTCCCACAATGCCCATCCGCCACCCCCAGTACCAGGAAAGCCTTCATTTCACCCGGTGGGAGCATCCACCGGCGCCCCCCATATTTGACTGTGCGCTGGAGGTGCTCCTGGCTGCTCCGGGCCAGCTCTGCAGAGGAGCCAGGCTGGGGTTATGAGGTGGCCAGGTCTCCCCAAGCCCTCCAAGTTCCCAGTCCTAGAAATCCCTGCCCCTCCTCCATCTCCCCCTCCCACGGGCACCTTGGCTGGGGCCTGAATCCTGCAGGAACTTGGTCAGGTAGGGCATCAGCCTGGTCGACGGAGAGAAGCAGCCTGTGAGAAGGCTGAGGAAGCTCCAGCCTCGAGTGCAGTGTTCCCTGCAGGGCAGAGAGCTCGGGCTTCAGGCTGGCCAGGCCACAGTGCCCAGCTGCCCCTAGAAGCCTCTCCACCCCACCGGTCCCCACTCACGGCCGGGGGTGTCCCGTGACCTGCTTGATAACCTGGCAGTAAATCTCATCCCTCAGCTTCTCCTCCTGGCACAGCTGCGGGGATAGGAAGGGCAGGTGGGGTGAGGGATGGGAGTGGTGAGCCTGGGGTCTGAAGCTCTGGAGAAATCCTGCTAGGCCGTGGGCGGGGGCTGGGTCAAGATGTCTCCCTCAGCTTAAGAGCATCACTGCACTGGCTACTCAGTCACTTTCTTCGCTGCTTCCCTGTCTCCCTCTGCCACGCAGGCTGGAACGCGATGGCGTGATCTTGGCTCACTGCAATCTATTTCCCAGGTTCAAGCAATTCCCCTGCCTCAGCCTCCCGAGTACTATAGGCGTGCCACCACACCTGGCTAATTTTTGTATTTTTAGCAGAGATGGGGTTTCACTGTGTTGGCCAGGTTTAATCTCTGACTTCAGATGATCTGCCCATCTTGGCCTCCAAAGTGCTGGGGTTACAGGTGTGGGCCTCCGTGCCCGGTCTTTTCATATATTTATTTTATTTTTTGAGACAATCTTGCTCTGTCGCCCAGGCTGGAGTACAGTGGTGCCATCTCGGCTCACTGCAATCTCCACCCTCCTGGGTTCAAGCGATTCTCCTGCCTCAACCTTCTGAGTACTACAGGAGTGCTCCACCACGCCCAGCTAATTTTTGTGTTTTTAGTAGAGATGGGGTTTCACCATGTTGGCCAGGTTGGTCTAGAACTACCTCAGGTGATGCACCCACCTCGGCCTCCCAGAGTGCTGGGATTACAGGCGTGAGCCACATGTCTGGCCCCTGCTTCTCTGATCTCTTAGTCATCTCTGCTGGCTTCACCTTAACTCCTTGACCTCTGAGCGGTGCCATGCCCTAGAACCTCTCTCTGTCTGCCCCTCTCCCTGTGGCCTCAGCTGCTCCCATCTGATGAGGTGCCTGCCTCCAGCTTCTCCCTTGAACCCCAGACTCCTCCACTGGGAAGTCTGGGATTTCAGACCTCACGTGTTCAAAACAGATTCCTCCACCAGCCAAGACCTGCTCCTTGAAGACAGTAGTTGTCCTCCTTCCCGTAGCCCACATGCGATTGGTCAGCACACTCTGCTGGCTCTGAATCTTCTGCTTCTCCCTTGCTGCCAGCACCATCCCTCACCTGGGACCACTGACATAACTTCCTTTTGCTTTTAAACTTAGACCCCCAGAATCCCAAACAACAGCCGAGTGACCCTGTGAAATGTAAGCTGAGTCTCTCTCCAGAATCCTCTTGGTGGTTTCCCATCTTTCCAAAAATCAGAAGCCAATGATGGCTACAAGGCCTGTGATGGCCTGGACCCACCGTCTGCTCCCCATCCTCATCCTCTGTTCTCCGTGCTGCTCACTAGGCTCAGCCACACTGGCCTTGCTGGTGTGTGATGATGCCGAGGCTTCCCACCACATCTGAACTGTTGCCTGCCCTTCTGTGTCACCCTGTGCTCACTCCTTCCCTCCCTGTAGGAAGGCTGCCACAAAGCCTCCACTGCAGCAGCCCCTTCCCTGCATTCTTACTCTCCAGTGACCTCTCACGCCCAGACACATAAGTTATCGTAAGCACTGCAGAGACTTAGCCTGCTGGCTTCACAGCCACACCCCCTGCATGCAATGGGTGTTCAGTAAATAGTTTGGAATGATTTGAAGGACAGTGACCAAGGGAAGGGGATCTCCTTCAAGCCCAGACAGGAGGACAGGCACAGGTGCTGGGCATCACACAGCCCAGGCTTACCTTTAGCAGTTCATAGAGCAGATCCATCTCATCCCTGCCCCGGGGCTTGGACTGGTCACCCATAAACCGCATCAGGGCTGCAGGCAGGATAAGAAACAGGGCACACAGCTGGGGCTGTGCTGGGGCTGGCCCCGGCTCATGCTGTTGCTGTGCAGGGCCTTCACCTGCCATCTGATGCCTCACTCTCAAAATGCATGGATGCCAGCCAGGGCAGCTGGTTGCAGCTTGACTCATGGGGAGACTGAGGCTCCTGGGTACCCAAGGCCCCACACAGCACATAGCATCCTCTGGACCCATGGACTGCCTTCCAACCCCAGACTCCACACAACCCACAACCCTTGGGTGGGAGTAGTAGGCGATGAGGGCCCTGGAGTCCAGGAGCCACCAGTGAGCTTCCCGGAGTTGGCAGACTGGGATGGAGCCAGGCAGAGCTCAAGGAGATAAAGGGACCAGACACCCAGGTCCATGACACTGCAGACATGGGGACCCAGGATGCCCATGGCCACTCACCCAGGAAGCTGGCCACAGCCAGCTTGTTCACGTCATCACTGAGGCTGAGGAGCGACTCCTGAATGGGAGCCTGTGGCCAAAGAGAGGAGGCTGTGGGTCTGGGGGCTGCGGGGGTCAGAGGGCAGATCCATGGGCCAGATACCTCCCTGCCTCTCCCTCACCTTGGTGTACTGCACCAGGCTGTCTGTGTCCTTCCCTGTAGCACCTCCATCTGTCTGGCCCGGCCTGTGGGGGGCAGGGGGAGACAGCCCAGCTTGTTTGGCCCTCCTGCCCTCATCCCAGCCAGCCAGGCTGGGCTAAGAGCACAGCCTAGTGGTTCAGAGCAGGGCACGTTCTCTTGGCAAGACTGAGGATAGACAGGCACAGGGGTCGGCCCAGTGCACTCACAAGGCCTGGGACTTCCGGAAGTAACGCAGGGCGAATTCCTGCATGGTGTAGTTGTGGGAGTCGGTGGACAGAGAGGCATAGGACACAGAGGAGGGCAGGCTGGTGGCCTCCGAGTCGTCACTGTGTGCCTGGCTCCAAGGGTGGGCAGGGCGCTGGGAGCACAAGAAACCTGGTGCCACCTGAGTGTCCAGTGCCCTGTCCCAGGGGTCCTGCCCCAGCCCCATCCCTCCCCAGCCAGACACCAAAGGAGCAAGACCGGAAGCCAGGAAAGTGAAGAGCTGTTTATTAAGCATCTGCTAGGGCAGCATTGAACTAAGTGCCACACGACCCAAGAGCAGCGCCCAGCCCAGCCCTGCCCTGCCCTGCCTGCAAGGAGTGCACAGTCTTGCTGGAGAGACAAGGCGAGCCATCAGGAGGGGGCAGAGGGGCAGCCACAGGAGACGGACAGCAGGGTGGTCCCACTGCATGGCAGCCTCGGGAGTGGTCAAACCCCTTTCCTTCCTCAGTCTCAGGCAGGCCTTGCCTGTGGTTCTCCTTCTGCCATCTTCCTCACCTCTGAGGCCCTGTCCCACCGAGCCAGCCCTAGTTCCCCGTTGGACAGCTGACCCTTGTGCCAGCCACTCCTCTGCTCCTTGGAGAAGGAAAAGTCGGGAGCGGCAGCCGGCTGCACTATGTCCGCAGGAAAGAGTCCGGAACGGCCCCCGGCAGAGCCAAACTGCCAGCCTGGAAGGCACCCAGGGATGTGGTTCACCCGCCGGACCCTCCGCCCCTAGGCAGCCTCTGCCAAGTGGATGCCCTCCCTGTGTGAGCCCCTGCCGGCCTGTGGCGATACCTGGCTCCAGGGTGGCCACCGGCAGCAGCTTGATGAGGTCCCCACGGTGGAAGCTGAGGAGGCTGCAGTTGTCAGTGATGTAGCTGCGCAGGGCGATGACATAGCCAGAGTCCTGCGGGCAAGCGGGTGAGGGCCTGGAGCAGGGAGCCTGCCTGCGCCTCCCTGTCCTGCCTTCCCACCTGCTCCCCCTGCTGGCCTCCCCCTCCACCTAGCACCCCAGACTTCCAGGGATTTAGCCCAAACTCCCAGCCCCTGCCCCCACAGGGAAGACGGACAGGGAGATGCAGCATCGGTGAGGGCTGCCCGCCCGGCCTCCCAACCCGCACCCCACACTTGCCTTCTTAAGCTCACTGAGGAACAGCTTAACCAGCGCCTCGATGGCCCTTGCCCAGGCTGTGTGCAACACCAGCTGCTCGCTCTTCAACGATAGCTGCAGGGTGGAGCTGCCCCGGCACTCCACACCCAGCACCTCTGCGAAGCTGCGCAGGGGCCGGGCATGAGCTGGGGTCACCTTGCCACCTGCCCCCACCTCTAGCCCAGGGTCGTGGGCCAGCACACCTGTATGAGCAGAGAATCTTCAGCTGGTGTGGGCGGAGGCTGGAGGCTTGGGTCACCTTGAGCAGTCGCAGCCCGCGGTGGGACACGGCTAGCAGCTGCACGTCGCTGCCACTCTCACCCTACAGGAAGGTGGTGGGTCTCAGGCAGGCTCCTGGGTCCTGCTACTGCCCAAGATGCCCTGGAGCTGCCCAGGGCCGGTGGCTGGGCTTTGTCCTTCCCCTGGCGCCTGCCCCTCAGCTCTCCTGCTTGTGGAGGGTCCGTGCCCATGCACCCCAGGATCCAGGCTGGGGGCCTGGCATCCCAACTCCCTACCCTAGCGCCACTGACCGAGACAGGAAAGAAGCGGGAGAAGTAATTGGCCCAGTTGTCCCGAGCAGCCACCACGATGCGCTTCTTGACGCCGTCTTCAGTGGTGGTGAGAGAATCCAGGTCCACCTCCAAGTCTCCTGTGGGCAGGAAGGACCCAGGCTGTCCTCTGCTCACACAGAGGGGGCTCTAGAGTTTGCTCCCATGCTGCTCCCTCCTTCAGGGCAGGCGCAGCCCCCAGCACTCAAGCTCCCAACTCCACGGTCCCTGGACCCATACCCAGCAGGTCTTTCATTTTCCGTCGCTCATCCTGGGAAATCCGGATACAGGACTCGGAGAAGGTGTCCCGCAGGATCTGGGGGCAGAGCTAGGTAGTCACCACTGGGTCCTGAGACAGAGCCCACCCCCAGAGCAGCCATCAACATGCATGAAGGAAAAGCTGGGGAGGTTGATGGAGGGCGCCCTGGCCCCCGTGGCCTGTATGCTAAGCAGAAGGCCTAGGTGGGGCAGGGAGGGACAGAGGGCTTGGGCCACCTCCATTCACACGTCTCACATGTCCCCTCCCCTGCAACTGCCAGCCCTCCCTTTTCACCCACTGCCCAGAGACCCCATGGTAACTGCCCCTGGGTCAGCCCAGATATATGATTGTTCGGGGCAGGGGGCGGCTGCTACTGCAGAATCTGGGGGAACAGAGGCTCACTCCTGGGAGCATTCAGAGGTGGCAAAGTCACAACTATTTATTAAGTACCTATTGCATGCTAGAGCCTGTGTTGTGCACTGTACACACTTTATTTTTAATCTTTATCTATAAAACTAGGTGAATAGCCAGGCGCGGTGGCTCAAGCCTGTAATCCTAGCACTTTGGGAGGCCGAGACGGGCGGATCACGAGGTCAGGAGATCGAGACCATCCTGGCTAACACGGTGAAACCCCCTCTCTACTAAAAAATACAAAAAACTAGCCGGGCAAGGTGGTGGGCGCCTGTAGTCCCAGCTACTCGGGAGGCTGAGGCAGGAGAATGGCATGAACCCGGGAAGCGGAGCTTGCAGTGAGCTGAGATCCGGCCACTGCACTCCAACCTGGGCGACAGAGCGAGACTCCGTCTCAAAACAAAAACAAAAACAAAAACAAAAACAAAAACTAGGTGAATAATGGTCCCTACTTGTTGAGACACAGTCTCGCTCTGTCACCCAGGCTGGAGTGCAGTGGCACAATCTCGGTTCACTACAACCTCTGTCTCCCGGGTTCAAGCAATTCTCCTGCCTCAGCCTCCCAAGTAGCTGGGATTACAGGTGTGCACCACCATGCCTAATTTTTGTATTTTTAGTAGAGACGGAGTTTCACCATGTTGGCCAGGCTGGTACCGAACTCCTGACCTCGTGATCCACCCGCCCTGGCCTCCCAAAGTGCTGGGATTACAGGCGTGAGCATCGCACCTGGCCATGGTCCCTACTTTTTAGGGATGTTGTGAAGATTCAATGAAGGCAGGGCTGGGCACACAGAAGTGGCCCCTAGTGCTGGCTGCCAACATGCCCTACATGGTGTTAACCTGGCCCAGCCATTAGACAAAGAGCACCAGGGATGCTGTCTCTACAGATGTCTCAGGCTGGCAGGTGGGCCAGCTCTCACCTGCTCACAGAGCAGCCGCAGGTAGTAGGGATGGCTCAAGTTCTCCCGTGGGTAGAACACCTGGAGGAGGGCACAGAAGGGCAAAGATCGGTGGGTCTGGTGCCGCTGCCTAGCCAGCCTCTGCCCTCCCAGGCCTGGAAAATCAGCCTTGAGATGGTGGGCTGTGGGGAGGGGATGCTGGGGTTCCAGACTGGGACACACAAAGCCTGCCGCCTCCCTGCCAGCCCAAAGAGGCCAGGCCAAGGCCCCACCCTCATGCCCACCTCCTTGCGTAGGAACAACTTCCAGGGCTTGCCAGTGTAGGAGAAGCACACGCTGCCAGAGGGCGCGAGTAGCTGGGTGGAAACGCCCTGGTCCTCCATGGGCTGTGTCAAGCCTGGCAGGGAGGAAGGGGTGAGGAGCCTCAGCGAGGGGCTTCAGAGCCAGAGTGATGGGGGCACGGGAGGGAAGACCTTTGTCCCCAAGAACCCGCCAAGGGCCCAGCTCTCTCAACCTCCAGCTGCCTTACTCCTTCCACGGCACCATCTCCTGCCTCCATTTCTGGCCCTAAACTTTCTCTGGAGTCCCTGAGACTCGTGGGCCCCTCTATGACCACGTCAGCCAGGACCACTAACTTCGTCACAGAGCTGTCGGGTATGTGTCAGGGATAACACCCTGTGTGTGATACCACTGACTCCTCCACAGAGCCGTCAGGTATGCGTCAAGGACAACACCCTGTGTGTGACAGCCTCTCAATGACAGCCTCAAAGATGCCCAGGCCCTGCCCTGGGTGGGAACACGGAAGCTGGGACTCCTCAGCTACATATGGCTCCAAAGTCCAGAAGCCCGAACAGCTGGCCTCAGCCACACCAAAATGCCTTCAACCCTGGGCACCAAGAGTCTGTGCGAACCCTGCCTCTGCCCCAGTGAAGCCCATGGCGCAGGGGAAGTGTGGTTCCTTACAACGACGCTCGGCTGAAAGGGTCCCTGGGTCCTCGGGCAGAGGCAGTGGTGGCGCTGGTGGAGGTGGGGGTGTCTGGGCAGTGGGCAGCTTCTGGCCAAACAGGTCCAGAAGGGGCCCCTGCTTTTCCTTGATGGAGCTAGAGGGCCCAAGCTGTAGTGGGGCCTTGGGTCGAGGAGCCACAGCTGGTGGGGGGCCCTTTCCTGGACTGGAGGACAGCATCTGGGGGGATATAGAGAAAGCACACGGGCTGATTGACAGCACAAGGCCAAGTTCACCCAGTGAACTTGGGCTCCCCAGTGCACACTCTCGGGGGGACAGGTTGGGGTGCTCACCGGCGGGGACGAGTGGGCACCGTTGATGCCCAGCTTGGCCAGAGCCTCGTCCTTGGGGTCAATTTTCTTCAGGAAAGTTTTGGGAGGCCTCGTGGGAGAAGCGAGAGGACACTAAGTTCATAGGGTGATTCCCCGAGGAGCAGGACAGCCCTGGCCACCTCCCCCTGGGGGCCCACCTGGATGGCTGCACAGGCACAGGCACGGGGCCCGGGCGGCTCTGGTACATGCGGATGATGTTGCCAATTTCCCTGCTGGGTTGTGGCCGCTTGGGCTTGGGGTCTGAGCTGCGCACCACGATCCCCCTACCTTGGGCTGGCCCTTGGCCACCGCCCTTGGCCGCTGTCTCCTTGACTGGCTCAGCCTCAGCCTCTTTTGCAGCTTTGGCCCCACCTTGCTTCAATGGCTTCTTCATGATGGGGGGAGGAGGAGGGGACGGCACTGACCAGGAAAACAGGAAAGACCGTCAAACGCTGTGCAGAGCCACAGGAGCCCCAGGCCCTGCCCAGCTCCCCACAACCTGCTCTTGTTTCCACTTCTTGCTCCTCCTGCTCCTCCTCCTCCTCCTCCTGCGCCTCCTCCTGGGGGATCTGGACCTTGGCGGGAGGCTTCATCGTCCTCACTGTGATCTGCGGCTGTCCTGCAAGTGTCCAGATGGCCTTCAAAGTTACCACACTAGCTCAGCTGGGCTCCTGGATGGGCCGCACCAACTCCGGGGAGCAGAGCACGCCTCACCCTCCCTGGCCTAGGCTAGAGGCACTGGCCGTGTTTCTACAGGGGCCTGCCGCCCCAAGTGCCCTCACCCATCTTCTGGAAGTAGTTCCGTTTCTGCTGGAAGCTCTTGGGCCGACAGGGCCTGTCTTCAGCCTCCTCGGAGGTCTCCTGGCAGGAGCAGAAGTGAGTGGCAGCTCAGCCAGCCTGGATGCCACACTCGCCACACCCCTCGGGTCCCCAGTCCTGGGCCAGCAGCCTCTTCCCTGCACTTGCCTACTCACCCTGCCCATGTCCCCTGCCCCTGCAGCCCCCACCCCACACCCCTTCCTGAGGACACGGTCACCTCCTCACCCTCAGGCAGCCACCCTCTGATTCCAGGTCATGCTGTGGCTTCTCCAGGGGTGTGGGGGGCTTCCTGGGCTTGGAGGTGATGGCTGAGGGTGAGGCCTGGGACGCCGCCTCGGAGGCCCGAGCCTGCCGCTGCCGCTGCTGCGTCTGCTGCTCCAGGGACAGGGTCATGGCCTGAGCTGTCATCTGCTGGGCCTGAAGCAGGAGGAGCAGCCGGTTCAGACCCTCATCCCCGAGCCATAGACCTCCTTCCACCAGGTAGCCCCAGGGCCCTGCCAGCACTCACCAGGATCAGTGCCTGCTGGTTGATGAAGTTCTGCTGCTGGATGGCCAGCTGCCCTGCGTCCAGGCTGGGAAGCGGCGGCTGCGGCGGCACCACCATGGCTGTGAGGGCGGCAGGCGGCCAGAGCGGTGGGCACCATGGCCAAAAGCTCTCCGCCCACTGTGCACTCGGGACTCCTAGCAGGACCCTCCCTCCTCCAGTCCCAGAGCTGGTGACTGCTCTCCTGAGAAGGGACTCTGGTGCCCCCAGCCCAGCCTTACCTGGCATGGCAGGGACTGTGCCCATTGCTGGCATCATGGGCATGGGTGCAGGGACCATGCCTGGCTGGTATCCAGGCATCTGAATCATTCCTGGGTACACTGAGGGAACACGCCCACCCCGTCAGTCCCTGCCTGGACCCACATGCCACCTCCCTCCAGCCCCAGGCACAGAGAAGAGCATCAGGCACCAGGGAGCTGGCCAGGACACCGATCGCCATTGCCAGAGAGGTCCCAGGCCATGCCTGCCATGCTGCCGGGCCCGGAGGCCCTGGGTGAGGAATCAGCCCTCACTCACCCATGGGGTACCCCTGCTGCGTGGGCCCAACGGCGCCCCCTCCCTTCATGCGGCTGCTCAGAGCCCAGCTTTGTTCCAGATCCTGAAGGGACAATGGTCACAGGTCAGAGTGAGAGCCCTGAGAAAAGTGGAGGGGGCAGCAGAGACCCTGGGGGGTTGGGGCAGGGGTATGCAGGGGCTGTGCTGCACTCACACTGAGGCCGGAGGACATCACTGGCTGGAAGATCTGGTCCAGGAAGCCGTCCAGGCTCCCTGATCTCTGGACCTCCCCTGTGGGGCAGGGAGAGGGTTGGTGCCACGGCCCGGGGCATGGGGCTTCCCATGCTCTGCCAACCTCCATGTGCCCACTCCAGCCTTACCTGTGTGGTCCCTGCTGGGCAGCGTTGGGGCTGGACCTGGAGGGGGTCCTGGGGGCAGTGAGGGGGCCTGGATGCCAGGGGCAAGGGGAATGGCCTCGGTTCTGCAGGAAACAGGATCTAGTTAAAGGGGTGGCCAAAGCTGAGGATCACCCAGGCTGGGGCAAGAGGTAGGAGCTGCTGTGGGGGTCGCCCCATGGTTGGGAGGAGGCTGGGTGGGAGGGCTGGGCCTGTGGCAGCTCCTATAAACCCCTGGGTGTGGCAGGGTGGCTGTGGGGTTCCCCAGCAGGAGCAGGCCAGGGAGAGGGGTGCTGGGTGGCACTTACGAGCCAAGAGGAGTGATGGGGTAGCTGTGGGGAGCAGCTGGGTCCCCCAGGTCCTCAGTCTGGCTGATTAGGTCCAGCACAAAGTCGCAGCCAGCCAAGTCCTGCCATGTGTCCCTGGAATGCAGTGACACGGACCAGCCCCGGGGAGGCACCTCCAGGCCTCTGGGTGGGAGGGGAGCAGTCAGTGAGGCAGGCGGCCATCCATAAGGCGGAGGACTGGGGAAGGGAGGGTGGCCCTGGAACCACCTGGTCCGGGACCCAGGTTGTCTCGGCAGCGGGGACTACTCCTCACCTCACGGCCCTCCATTTCCACAAGGGCTCCAGTGTGGGCATTTATTTTCTGATCTACTGAGTTAGAATCTGGGCCATGGGAGCTCCCATGCCCCTCATTTCTAATCTGCTCCTGGCTCCCCATCGCCATCTGCAGTCTGGCCCCTGCCCACCCCAGGGCACCTCCTCTCCCTGCCCCCGAGACTGGGGGCACAATGATCACTTTGGCCACACTGTCCCCCATCCCCGGTGGCCATACCTGCTCTGCAGGATCCACCCAGCCAGCTGCTCGCCCGTGGTCCAGGACTCCACCTCGGCTGAGTAGCACTCCTCTATAGGGGCGCGGGGGTCAGGGGCAAGAGTGAGGGACAGCAGGGTCCACCCTGACAGGAAGGGGCTGCTGTCCCCATGAGGGTTTCAAAAGCAGGACAGAGGGGAGAGAGAACAGGGTCACTGAGGACAGGGCAGCAGGAAGGCTGGGGCAGCAAGGGGTTCCGGGGAGGGCAAAGGGGTAGGGCTGGCCCCACTTCAGGCCTGGGAGGCGTCAGCCGAGGCAGCCCTCACCGCTGAAGGTGAACACGTCCAGCGCCATGCGGCCCCGCCGCCATCCGGCCATCCACTCCAGCTGGGTTGGAGGGTGGGCCCGAGTGGCCCCTGGGGCCAACTGCGACTGCTCCAAGGCCCCCAGCAGCTTGTGCTGGCACAGCGCTGCCATGCCCCTGGGGGCCTGGTCAGACACGAACCTGCAGGGCAGGCACAGGCTGCAGTGGAGGAAGGGTGATCCAGCGACCCCACCTGCCAGGTCCCCACCTTCCAGGCCCCTTACTTGAGCAGCGGCTTCTGCAGGACAGGCAGTGGGGGGAAGGCGCTGAGCAGAACAGCCATGAGGGCCCAGCCCCGCTGGCTCTGCTGTTCGTCTGGGTTCTGCCATAGCTGGGCCACCAGCTGGCTGAAGAGCTCATTCCGCAGCCCTGGCCGGCACTGCCCCTGCCGCACCAGGTATGTGCCCATGGTCTGCCTCTGCCAGGACTCTACGGATCCATCCCCCAGGAGCCGCAGCATCTGCCGACATAGCTGGGTAAGGACAAGACGTGCAGGGCTCCCAGGTGCCCATCCTGTCCCTTCTCCAATGTGTCACTCACCACTTTGTTGATGTCCAGGGCATGCTGAGGGTTCTCTCCGTCCAGCTGGGTTAGGGGCTTCACCAGTGGCTGCCCTGGCCTGGGCAGGGATGGCTCCTGCAAGGAAGGAGGGCTAGTCCACGCTCACCAGCTGTCAGACAGACCCAGGGGAGCCCCACCGGAGCAGGCACTTCGGGAGAGGCAGAGGGCTGGACAGAAATGCATCTTAATGCTGTTTTGTTTTTTTTTTTTCTTTTGAGGCAAGAGTCTTGCTCTGTCACCCAGGCTGGAGTGCAGTGGCACAATCTCAGCTCACTGCAGCCTCCACCTCCCAGGTTCAAGTGATTCTCCTGTCTCAGCCTCCTGAGTAACTGGGATTACAGGCACCTGCCATCATGCCCAGCTAATTTTTGTACTTTTAGTAGAGACTGGGTTTCACCATGTTGGCCAGGCTGGTCTCGAACTCCTGACCTCAGGTGATCCACCCACCTCACCCACCTCGGCCTCCCAAAGTGCTGGGATTACAAGCATGAGCCACCATGCCCGGACTGTATGTGCAGTTTTGAATCCTGCATTTGTATTTACTGCTGAAGTCTGGACAGTTTCCCTTGTCAATAAACATCGTTAAGGTCATGACTTCAAAAGCAGGGCACTACTGCAGGTACAACAAAGGTGTGGCATTGTGGATCTAAATAACTTCTCCCATCCAATAACACTGATAACACTCTATGGTGAGACATTTACATTCAACGGTTATTTTCAGAGCAATTCAGCGCTATTCACAGCCCTAAAGGCTGGGGAGGGAGGAGGGAAATAGCTGAAAGCAGGGGAAAAAACGCAGCTTCTGCCAGGCAGGTGCTAACTCAGAATGGTGAGGCTACTGGGAAGAGCTTAGGCCTGGGCACCTACCTGGAAGCCGATGGAGACGAAGCTGGAGAAAGGGAACCGGTCAATGTCTGGTGGGAGAGTCAGGCTGGGCCGGGCAGGAACCTCAGGGGGCAGGCACTCTGTGATGCTCCCAGCCAGGGCATCCTGATGGCCTGGGAACGAGCACCGGGAGGCAGCCCAGGAACACCCAGGTGTGGTACCTGGCCCTGGGACCACCTCCACCCCTCCCCACGAGCCATCAGCCCCTGTCCACTGGGACCCAAGCAGTAAGCTTAGCAGAGCCTGGAGCATCAGAGGGAGGAACCACAAGGGACAGACACATCCCACGGTAAAGGGACTGGAGAAGGGGTCCTAACAAGAGGACGCCAACAAGACTTACCTTCCGCCGTCTTCAGCATGACGGCCAGCTCAGCCGGAATCTCCAAGCGCCCCAGCTCCTGGCAGACGGGGCCCATTTACCCAGGATCCACAGGAGGGGCCTAGGGACCAGTGTCCATCCCCACACCCTTACCCCCAAGATTATAAACATCCCCTCCAGAGACCAAGTATTTCTTTTTTTTTTTAATTTGAGACAGGGTCTCTGTCACCCAGGCTAGAGTGCAGTGGTGCGATCACGGCTCACTGCAGCCTTGACTTCCGAGGCTCAAGCTCAAGCGACGCTCCCGCCTCAGCCTCTTGAGTAGCTGAGACTACAGGCGTGTGCTACTGTGTCCAGCTGACTTTTACTGTTTTTGTAGAGATGTTACCCAGGCTGGTCTCAAATTCCTGGGCTCAAGCAATCCTCTCACCTCAGCCTCAAAGTGCTGGGATTACGGGTATGAGCCACCACGCCCAGGCAAAGACCAAGGATTCTAACCCTGGACACTCAAACAAACAGAGCCCCAAGGACCCTGTGAGGGAAACCAAGAGCCAAGGGCACCCAGGTCCTCTTCTCAGGAGGTGCAATGTCTGGCCCTGAGGGACAGGACCCATAGTAGCACCCTGGCAGCCCTCTAAGCCATCCCAGTCTCAGCAGGTTCATAGTCCCACGTAGAACCCCCCACCTTCCAGGCCACCTACCATGCTTGGCACTCTCTCCAAGGCCCTTTCGCTGCTGTGCCAGCCCTGCCAGTGCCCAAGCTGTTGGAGGAGATGTGGAAAGAGCTGATGCCTCCCATGTGAGTCACCTGGGGGCACCTCCCCAGCTCTGAAGTTCAGCTGTCCCCTGTGTCCCCTCCTGCCCCTGGGAGGTTCTCAGCGAAGGAGCGAGAACAGATCAGGAGGGGTCAGCTACCCCTGGCCCTTCAGGGCCCTCACCAGCCTTAGCGCTGTGGGCGTCCGTGCCCATCTGCCAGGGCACCGGGAAGAGGGCAGGAAGAAGGGAAGAAATGGTCCCAGGGGACAAAGTCCAGGCAGGGAGGGGTCAGAGAGGGGGTAGCACGTGGGCATTGACCTTTGAGCTGCTTTATAGACCTTAGATGAGAGTTAACAGGCAAAAGAGGGGAGCGGAAGGGGCCCAGGGGAAGCCTGGAGGGGATGGGAACCCTAGGCAAGAGGGAAGAGCCAGGCCCTGGGGAGAGTGGGCAGGAATGGAAGAAGACAGCACCTTCCAAAGGCCCCAGCCTACCCCGGCCGGAGGGAAAAGGGATGAGTTCAAGGAGCACTGTGTCCAAAGCCACAGTCCTTGAGATGCGGGGCTGAGAGGGTCGATGCTGCTGGGATTTGGCCAGTTTGGCCAGCTCAGGCAGCCTGGCTTCTACCCTGAGCTGCCCCCCGCCAAGCCCCTGTACCTGCAGTCTCTGCCGCCTCCGGAGCAGGGGCTGGGCCACCAGCAGGATGGTGTTCAGCTGTCCCAGAGCTGCCCGCCGCCGGAGGCACCGCTTCCTGGAGGCCGGGAGAGGGCGGGGGCAAAATGAAGAGTCCAAACTTATGCTTCCTGCCTGGCATTGGAATCCCCTAAGCCTGGACATTCATGTAAAAACTGACTTTGGACTAGAGAAGCCCTGGATGCTTCACAGAAACAACAGGAAAAGAATAGGATACTTCAAAAGAAGAGCAAGGGTCGGGTGCAGTGGCTCATGCCTGTAATCGCAGCACTTTGGGAGGCCAAGGCAAGTGGATCACTTGAGGTCAGGAGTTCAAGACCAGCCTGGCCAACATGGCAAAACCCTGTCTCTACTAAAAATACAAAAATCACAGCACACCTGTAATCCCAGCTCCTCAGGAGGCTGAGGCATGAGAATTGCTTGAACCTGGGAGGCAGAGATTCAAGTGAGCCTAGATTGCGCCATTGTGCTCCAGGCTGGGTGACAGAGCAAGACTCAGTCAGGAAGGAATGAAGGAAGGGAGGAAGGGAGGGAGAAAGAAAGAGAGAAAAGGAAGAAAGACAGACAGAAAAGGAAGGAAGGAAGGAAGAAAGAAAGAAAAGAAAGAGGAAGAAAGAGAAAGAAAAGAGAAAAAGAAAGAAAAAGAGAAAGAGAAAGAAAGAGAGAAAGAAAGAGGAAGAAAGAGAAAGAAAAGAAAAGAGAAAAAGAAAGAGAGAAGAAAGAGAGAAAGAAAGAAAGAAAAAAGGAAGGAAGGAAGGAAAGAGAGAGAGAGGAGGAGGGAGGAGAGAGGGAGGGAGGGAGGAGAACAAGTAAATTGAGAGGCTGTTTAGCCTGAGGGATTAAGAGCTGACTCTGACTCTGGGCCTAGACTACCTGGGTTCAGATCAGTTCCCCGTATGCACACTGACCAAAAAAAAAAAAAAAAAAAAATCATTTCCCTTAGCTTGGCACGGTAGCTCATGCCTGTAATCTCAGCACTGTAGAAGGCTGAGGAAGGAGAATTGCTTGAGACTAGGAGTTCAAGACCAGCCTGGGCAACATAGCAAGACCTCATCTCTACAAAAAAGATTTTTAAAATTAGCCAGGCATGATGGTGTGTCCTTGTAGTTCTAGCTACTTGGGAGGCTGAGGTAGGAGCTATGATTGGGTCATTGCTCTTTAGCCTGGGTGACAGAGCCAGACCCTGTCTTGTAAAAAAAAAAAAAGAAGCAGAACTTATTAAAAAGTAACATCGGCCGGGCGCGGTGGCTCACGCCTGTAATTCCAGCACTTTGGGAGGCCGAGGCGGACGGATCACAAGGTCAGGAGATCGAGACCACGGTGAAACCCCATCTCTACTAAAAATACAAAAAATTAGCCGGGCGCAGTGGTGGGCGCCTGTAGTCCCAGCTACTTGGGAGGCTGAGGCAGGAGAATGGCAGGAACCCGGGAGGCGGAGCTTGCAGTGAGCCGAGATCGCGCCACTGCACTCCAGCTAGGGGGACAGAGCGAGACTCCGTCTCAAAAAAAAAAAAAAAAAAAGTAACATCATTGGCCAGATGCAGTGTCTCATACCTGTATCACAACTGTAATCCCTGTACCTTGGGAGGCTGAAGTGGGAGGATCACTTGAGACCAGGAGCTAGAGACCAGCCTGGCCAACATGGTGAAACCCCGTCTCTACAAAAACACAAAAAAGGCCAGGCGTGGTGGCTCACGCCTATAATCCCAGCACTTTGGGAGACTGAGGTAGGCAGATCACAAGGTCAGGAGTTCGAGACCAGCCTGGCCAACATAGTGAAACTGTCTCTACTAAAAAATCTCAGCTACTTGAGAGGCTTGAACCCGGGAGGCAGAGGTTGCAGTGAGCTGAGATTGTGCCATTGCACTCCAGCCTGGGCAACAAGAGCAAAACTCCGTCTCAAAAAAAGAAAAAGAAAAGAAAAGAAAAGAAAAAAAGATTGTTCCCACAGTGTGGAAAACGGACTAGAAAAGAGAATGATAAAGGAGTCAGGACCATAGGTTCAGGTGGCCTCAGCAGGTAATGAGTTTCTCGTGACTGGGGTATTCAAGCAGAGGCTGCATGGGTATGGGGGGAATGCCGTCAAGGACAGTCACATGCCGATGGGGCAGGATGACTTGCCCTGAGGCACTATGTTTCCCCAACCTTGCCCCACCACCTGGAGGATGAGCCCACGGCCTCACCACACCCACTTCAGCCCTGGCTCCAATGTTTGCAGACCTGGCCTGGAACCCACGCATGCGAGCCTGCATCCGGGGCAGGACGCGCTGGCGGGAGATGCAGGTGTGGAAGCTACGGTGCAAGTTGACCAGGGCCTGGGAGCGCTGCTGGTCCCGGAGCTCCTCCAGCCGCTGCCAGCCCTGCTCCTGCAGCAGGACCTGTGGGCAGAGGTGCAGGCTGTAGGCAGGAGCCAGGAGCCAGCCCCGCCTGCTCTCCTTCTCTGGTCTCAGCCTCTTCCCTTCCAGCCAAACCATTTGTTCTTCTGGGGTGCTGGGGCCAGCCTGGCACCCAGTCCTTCTGTCTCCCACCACCTGGATGGATCCCCAAATCCTGGGTTTGTCCCTTTGGGCCCAGACTGCATCTCTCCTTTCCCATTCATGCTGCCCTCTGCACACAGGGATACACACACCCACCTTGGTGGCTCCGAGGTGACAGAGAGGTGATTCGGCCCCCAGCACCTGGCTCAGGATGGTACCACACTTCTCCCGGTCAGAGAGGTCTTCCTGCCCTTCCGAGCCCAGGGCCTGGAACCTGCTCCAAGGATGAAGCTGAGGTCAGAATAGCCAGAACCTCCTTTTACACTTTTTTTTTTTTTTTTTTTTTGAGAGAGAGTTTTGCTCTTGTTGCCCAGGCTGGAGTGCAATGGTGCAATCTCGGCTCACCACAACCTCCACCTCCCAGGTTCAAGTGATTCTCCTGCCTCAGCTTCCTGAGTAGCTGGGATTACTGGCATGCGCCACCATGCCTGGCTAATTTTGTATTTTTGGTAGAGATGGGGTTTCTCCATATTGGTCAGGCTGGTCTTGATCTCCCGACCTCAGGTGATCCGCCTGCCTCGGCCTCCCAAAGTTCCAGGATCACAGGCGTGAGCCAGCGCGCCCAGTCCTTTCACACTTGCTGTGCGACACCCTGAGCCCCTTGGTATTTATTCCATTTCTAGATCATTAAAAAATTTGGAAGTTGCCTGCTCTATGCCAGGTGCTCAGCTGGGCGCCGAGACACTGCAGTGAACTTGGGCAGGGAGGGCCTCTGTGCTGGAGCTCAGGGGGAAAACAGGTGAACACGGTGTGCCCAGGAGGCATGAGGGCTGGTTCTGGGCCACGGGAGCAACAGGAATGTGGTTCCCAAGGCCTTAGTCTCCTTGCCACCCAACACAGTGGGTCTCAAGACAAGTTTGTGGGAGGGAGGGAGGGATGTGGGAGGGAGGGAGGGATGTGGAAGGGAGGGAGGGGTGTGGAAGGGAGGGAGGGGCATGGCAGGAAGGGGTGGGTGGGGGAGTGTTGAAGGACACTTCACAGGTCCAGATCGTGGTACCAGTTTGGCTCAATGGACACTCAGTAGTTAGTCCATACCAAGAAAGCACTCTGCAGGTTCTGGGGACACATGGGTGACAGTCTGTGGTCACGGGATGCCACAGTGCATCAGGGAATGGTACAGATCAGCAGACCTGGTCTGTGCTGGGTGGAGAGTTGTACGTCGAAGTTCCTCTCACCCAGCTTCCGGGCTCAGGGCTTCTTGTTGGAGGTGACAATTGCCATAGCTGGTAGGTTTCCAGATGGCAGAGACTGAACATGCTCCGCCCTGGAGCTTCTCAGGATCTGACTCAAGGCTGGGCACACCCATCCCTACTGCCTGCCTTCGGCTCAGTCCCCCAACCAGGCCATCCCCATTGCCAAGGCCATCACAGGCTAAGGAAGTCCGCAGAGCCCTGGGGTGAAGCTGCTGCTCCTAGCAACCGCCACCTCCCTTCTGGGCAGCCACCAGCCCAGCTCGGCTGGACATCAACGAGAAGTGACTCCACCTGCCCACTCTGTCCCTGTCCTTGGGGGAAACTCCAGCCCTTCAGAGGATTCCCAAGAGGTCATCCAGTCAATAGCCAAAGGCCAGATAGGCAAACAACAAAACAGACAATGTCACCAGCTTTTCTCAAAGTTTCTGAACTCCGGGAACAAAGCCGCCTCCGGGTTCCGGGCAGCTCCGTGTGCCACCCCGCCCCTCCTGCCCTTCTGAAAGGCTCTTTTCTCACTCCGTCCCCCCTCCCATCTCACTGCTTCAGCCTGCACTTCCTGGACAGCTGCCGTGGGTATTAGACTGTGAGCCCCGCCCAGGGCAGGTACTGCTCCCACCTCATCTCTGGTGCCCGGGGAATCAGCACAGGAAAGGTTTGCAGAGAGGAGAAATGATGAATGGTCGAAGAGAGTGAGATGGAGAGAGAGAGAGAGAGAAAGAGGATGAGAGGACGAGGAGACAGAGGGAGGGTTGGGGGCTAGGCCCAGTCCTGGGCAGAGTGAGTCCATCTCCAATCGGAAGGACCCCCAGGGCTGCCGGTCACTCCCGGGGCCTCCTTGTCAGTCCTGCCCTGAGGTGCTGGGCCCCACCTGGCCAGGAAGGCCCCAAAGGGCACACGCACGGGGAAGTTGGCACTGCGGGTGCCCACAGCCTCCAGTATGGCTGCCTGGTGCAGTTGCTCTGTCACATGTCCCACGTCAAAGAGGCCTGGAAGCTGTGGCCACAAGACAGAGCCAAAGACAGCTGGAGTCAAGGGGCCTGGAGCTGTGCGGAGGGAGGTGCAGGGCGGGGGAGGGTCCCGAGGCCAGTTGCTGGGGAGCTCACCTTTCCAGGGTTAGGGTTGAGGCATTGGATGAAATAGACATGGCTCCTGATGAGGGAAAGGGGGGTCACTTGGGCACAGACCAGTGCCCCATATAACTCCCTGGGGTCTGGTGTGGCTGCCGCTGTTCTCACCTGCCCAGCCGGGCTATGAGGTCCCCCAGGGCCTGCTGGAAGCGAGAGGACAGCGTGGGTCTGCCTCGCCCTCCCCTGGACTGGGGCTCTGCCTCCTGGAACAGGCTGCCCACCAGCTGTGGGGGTGAAGAGCTGAGCCAGCTGGCTGCTGGGGCCTGCCCATCCACCCTGCAGCCCAGGAGAGCCAGAATGGGCCAGCCCTTAGCATCCAGACCCTGGCAAGCTCAGTCCATGGCCCAAGGTGCCACAGACTTGAGGGCCAACCCTTGGGCAAGAGCACCCAGGGGGAAAAAGACAGAATTAGGGGAAAAAGTATGGAGCAGGTGGGGGCCTGGAAGGGCAGATGGGCACCTGGAGCTGGCTCTGGCCAAGCATCTCCACCACGGCAGGGTCCAGCTGATCCCGGTTTCTGTTTAAAAACTTGTGAACCTACAAGAGACCATGCAGGTGGGGAGGGAAGCGGAGAAAGGGAGGGGAGCAGGAACCAAGGAGGGGAGGCTGGGTATGGAGGAGAAGAATCTACCCTCTCCCCAGGTGACCTGAAAGGCTGCCTTGGTGATTTTCCAGTCCTTTAGCTAGCCATGGAATGTCACTGGACTTTCCATTCCACTCCATGGAAAGGTCCAGTCCCCAGCAATACCCCGCTCTCCCCACTGGGGCTTTAACCTGTGCTAGTCAATAGCTTGACTAGACAAGAATGTTGCCTGCCTCTCCACGTTAAAGCTTTTTTGATTTATATTTTTCTAGCTTTCTTGAACTCCTTGTATTTCTTTTTTGGGGGGCAACTCCTGGGTAGTTTGTAGTTTTTCTTCTCCAAGTCAAGCGTGCCATCTCCTTCAGGGAGAACTGATTCTCCCTCCTGTCCTTCCCTTTATTCCAGCCCCCACTCCCCCATCCCCAGTGCCTCTCCTCCTGGTGTAGGCATGCTTGCAGCTTCTTGGTAGGCATAGAACTCAGAAGGGGGAAAGGAAGTTCATTCAGTGAGCACCTACCCTGTGCCAGGCACCTGCCAGGCCATCTCCACATTAGTACATCTAACCCTCACAGCAATGCCAGAGCTTAGGTCTCCAAGCCCATTTCACAGGTGAGGAAATGGAGGCTCAGAAGGTGAAGTAAACTGCCAAGGTCATCAGGTCCCAGGCTTGTGCTCTGCCCACTTGTCTGGAGGGCCCCAAGGCTTCCACTGACCCCATTATTGTCACTCCCTGACCCCATTATTGTCACCTAGAACTCAGTAAACCATGCTCAGAACTGGGCAGGGCTCATGGCTCAGGCAGGGGCAGGTGTCCAAGTCTTGCAAGGGGCCTCCCCACACCCACTCCTCTCCGCTGTTGGGTGACTCAGCTTGGGAGGGGACACTGCCCTCGCTGATTCACCCTGGTCTGTCCCTGAGGCCAGGTACCTGGTAGGTGACAGTCCCTGCATAATGTTGCACGGTGAACACGGGCAGGGGCAGCCGGGGCTTGGCATAGCTGGGGTGGTCACCATGGTGATAGTGGCTCTTCTGGAGGAAGGTGTGGTCCGTGGCCTAGGAGAGGAGCCACGCGCTCCCTTCACGCCTCTGCACAAGCTGTCCTTGCCTGGATGGTGCCCTCTCCCGGTGAGCACGAGTACTGCCTATACTGACTATAAGGGTAGGTTTGGCTACCCTTATAGTAGCTTTGGAGGCTGAAGTGGCCAGATCGTTTGAAGTTAGGGGTGTGAGATCAGCCTGGGCAACATCGTGAGATCCCATCTCTACAAAAAATTTAAAAATTGGGCCGGGCACGGTGGCTCACGCATGTAATCCCAGCACTTTGGGAGGCCGAGGCAGGCAGATCACAAGGTCAGGAGTTTGAGACCAGCCTGGTCAACATAGTAAAACTCCATCTCTACTAAAAATACAAAAAAATTAGCCGGGCATGATGGCAGGCGCCTGTAATCCCAGCCACTCAGGTGGCTAAGGTAGGAGAAGCACTTGAACCCGGGAGGTGGAGGTTGCAGTGAGCCAAGATGGTGCCATTGCACTCCAGCCCAGGGGACAGTGTGAGACTTCATCTCAAAAAAAAAAAAAATTAAGAATTAGCTGGGTGGGGCCAGGCGCAGTGGCTCATGCCTGTAATCCCAGCACTTTGGGAGGTTGAGGCAGGTGGATCACCTGAGGTCAGGAGTTCAAGACCAGCCTGGCCAACGTAGTGAAACCCTGTCTCTACTAAAAATACAAAAAAAATTAGCTGGGCATGGTAGCTTATGCCTGTAATCCCAGCTACTCAGGAGTCTGAGGCAGGAGAATCGTTTGAACCTGGGAGGTGGAGGTTGTAGTGAACCGAGACCGCACCATTGCACTCCAGCCTGGGCAAGAAGAACCAAACTCCGTCTCAAAAAAAGAAAAGAAAAGAAAAAAGTAAAATTAGCTGGGAGGAAAGAATGATTGAGACCGGGAGCTTGAGGCTGCAGTGAGCTATGGTGGTGTCACTGCACTCCAGCCTGGGTGAGAGTAAGACTCCATTTCTAAAATAAATAAATAAATAAATAAGTACAAAAAAAAGAAAAGAAAAGAGGCCGGGCGCGTTGGCTCATGCCTGTAATCCCAGCACTTTGGGAGGCCGAGGCGGGTGGATCACGTGGTCAGGAGATCGAGACCATCCTGGCTAACACAGTGAAACCCCGTCTCTACTAAAAAATACAAAAAGTTAGTCGAGCATGGTGGTGGGCGCCTGTGGTCCCAGCTACTCGGGAGGCTGAGGCAGGAGAATGGCGTGAACCCGGTAGGCGGAGCTTGCAGTGAGCTGAAATTGCACCACTGCACTCCAACCTGGGCAACAGCGAGACTCCGTCTCAAAAAAAAAAAAAAAAATCACCTTCAAAAAGTAACTCAGGCCGGGCGCGGTGGCTCAAGCCTGTAATCCCAGCACTTTGGGAGGCCGAGACGGGCGGATCACGAGGTCAGGAGATCGAGGACCATCCTGGCTAAACGGTGAAACCCCGTCTCTACTAAAAAAATACAAAAAACTAGCCGGGCGAGGCGGCGCCTGTAGTCGCCAGCTACTCAGGAGGCTGAGGCAGGAGAATGGCGTGAACCCGGGAGGCGGAGCTTGCAGTGAGCGAGATCCGCCCACTGCACTCCAGCCTGGGCGGCAGAGCGAGACTCTCGTCTCAAATAAAAAAAAAAAAAAAAAGTAACTCAGTTGGGAATGATAGTAAGAGTCAGTTAAAACACACATACACAAACACACACAGTAACTCAAGGACAGGTGCAGTAGCTCAGGCCTGTAATCCCAGCACTTTGAGAGGCAAAGGTGGGAGGATTGCTTGAGCCCAGAAGGTTGGAAACAGCCTGGGCAACATAGCGAGACTCCAACTCTATTTTTTAAAATATAAAAATAAAACTGGCCGGGCGCGGTGGTTCAAGCCTGTAATCCCAGCACTTTGGGAGGCCGAGACGGGCGGATCACGAGGTCAGGAGATCGAGACCATCCTGGCTAACATGGTGAAACCCCATCTCTACTAAAAAATACAAAAAGTTAGTCGAGCATGGTGGTGGGCGCCTGTGGTCCCAGCTACTGGGGAGGCTGAGGCAGGAGAATGGCGTAAACCTGGGAGGCGGAGCTTGCAGTGAGCTGAGATCCGGCCACTGCACTCCAGCCTGGGCGGCAGAGCGAGACTCCGTCTCAAAAAAAATAAAAAATAAAAAATAAAATAAAATAAAATAAAACTAAAAAGTGACTTGGTTGGACGTTATTTTACTGAGCTAGTGAACATAAAATAGCAAGTGCATGGGGGAACTTGCCTAATGTTATGTAAATGAGAACCTGGGTTTAGGGTAACAATTCCAAGCTCAGCACCCACCTCGGACTCAGAAAATGGTACATGTCACATAAAATAGACCTAAGTGATATTGCTGAGCCTTGGAAAACCATGCTGGGGGATTCCAAAAGTGATCTTGGGACCTCAAAGATACTCATGACAAGTTTTAACAAAATGTTATGAAATGTGAACTGGGAGAAACAATCATTTATAAATTAACATGCTCTTAATTATTTAGTACAAGATTTTACATATGTATAAGTATTAAGAAATAAACATTATATATTATATATTAATGTGACCTGTTATATATTATACATGAAGACATGTATTACATTAATATGACAGTGATCAATGAACTATTACAATAACATATTTCACAATTTTACCATTATTTTTCTTTTTTTTTTTTTTTTTTTTGAGACGGAGTCTCGCTCTGCCGCCCAGGCTGGAGTGCAGTGGCCGGATCTCAGCTCACTGCAAGCTCCGCCTCCCGGGTTCACGCCATTCTCCTGTCTCAGCCTCCCAAGAAGCTGGGACCACAGGCGCCCGCCACCATGCCTGGCTAATTTTTTGTATTTTTTAGGAGAGATGGGGTTTCACCATGTTAGCCAGGATGGTCTCAATCTCCTGACCTCGTGATCCGCCCGTCTCGGCCTCCCAAAGTGCTGAGATTACAGGCTTGAGCCACCACGCCCGGCCTTTACCATTATTTTTCACCTTTCATTTTCTTTTTTTTTTTTGAGACCCAGAGTCTTGCTCTGTCGCCCAGGCTCATGCCATTCTCCTGCCTCAGCCTCCCCAGTAGCTGGGACTACAGGCGCCCACCACTATGCCCGGTTAATTTTTGTTTTTTTTGTTTTGTTTTTTTGGTTTTTTTTGAGACAGAGTCTCACTCTGTTGCCCAGGCTGGAGTGCAGTGGCGTGACCTCGGCTCATTGCAACCTCCACCTCCCGGGTTCACGCCATTCTCCTGTCTCAGCCTCCCAAGAAGCTGGGACCACAGGCGCCCGCCACCATGCCTGGCTAATTTTTTGTATTTTTTAGGAGAGATGGGGTTTCACCATGTTAGCCAGGACGGTCTCGATCTCCTGACCTCGTGATCTGCCCGCCTCAGCCTCCCAAAGTGCTGGGATTACAGGCGTGACTGCAACCTCTGCCTCCCGGGTTCACGTGATTCTCCTGCCTCAGCCTCCCGCGCCTGGCTCACCTTTCATTTTCAACCACTAATTGGGAAAATGTGGGAGGGTCGCCCCGTGTTCAGGATCTGTGGAAATTATATTGAGCTTCCACAGAAACTCCCGCACCACATTCCAGCCTCAGCTCCTAGAGGCTCTCCCTGTCCCACAAACTCACCCACGGAACTGCGCAGGGGTGATTTTGTATTTGGCTCTGCATGCTTTTTTTTTTTTTTTTAATAATTAATTATTTTTTTGAAACAAGGTCTCACTCTGTCACCCAGGCTGGAGTGCAGTGGCATGATCATGGCTCACTGCATCCTTGACTTCCTGGGCTCAAGCCATCCATCCACCTCAGCCTCCCAAGTAGTTCTAACTATAGGCTCGCACCACCACACCAGGCTGATTTTTGTATTTTCTGTAGAGACGGGGTTTTGTCATGTTGGTCTCGAGCTCGTGGGCTCAGGGGATTCACCCACCTTGGCCTCCCAAAGTTCTGGGATTACACACGTGTCTGGGCCGCCGAGCTTGGCCAAGGCCTGTTTTTTTAAATTAACATTTATCTCCTGCTGCACTGCAGGTTGTAAGAGGGGAGAGACTGGGTCTAATTTTGTTCACCTTTTATCCTTAGCACAGTTCCTGGCACAGTTATTCATTCATTCATTATTTCCTTAACACGTGCTGCAGATAGAGCTCAAACCCTTCAGACAGGCACCCGCCCTTGTGGAGCCCAGTCTAGTGTGGGAAGGAGTCAGTGAATGAATGGACGCTGTGACTGCATGTGGATGCGTGCTGAAACGTGAAACAGGGACGAGCCTGCTATTCAAGTCTCAGCAGGCAGGAGGCAGTCAGGAAGCTTCTGTGGAATGAGGGGCATGGTGCCCTGGGGCTTGTCCCAGACTGGTCAGAAGCCTCAGTAGCCACCTGGCCACAATTGTGAGGGACCTGCAGAAGCCCTTCATGAGCCCCGTGCAGTCCCCACCACCTTGCCCATCGGGCACTATTGTCCCCCTTCTGTGGCAAGTACATGAGGAACCTCAGAGGACAGATGTCATGGTCAAGATCACCCGAGACAAGATGTGAATCCAGCTCTGCGGGAGCCCAGGGTTCTTCCCCTTCACTGCTGTTGTCCCAGGCTGTGCTGAGGAACTGTGGGCAGGGTCTCTGGATCCCATCACTATGTCCCCTCTGGGAGGCTCTGCCAGCTACAGCCTGGACACCCAGGGCCACCACCCCTTCTTCCTGACACTGGATGGGGGGTCACCACCCTGGGCCTCACCTGGGACAGCCATGTCTGGGCATCCAGGATACTCAGGAGGCTGTGGGGCTGGTCTACCAGGAGGTCCAGGCAGGATTCCCTCGGAGGCTGACGGACAGGCACCCAGGACAGCAACTCCCGCCGACATTCCTCCTGGGAATAGCCGGCATTTGGCCATTTCACAGGAGCAGGGATAACCCTCCTATCTTATGGAATAGTATATTGAGGCTTAGAAGACTGAGATGCCTCATGGAAACGGGTCTTCCAGGCACAGCTCTCAGTTCCCAAATTTCCTTCACCAAGGATGGCTTCTGCCTGGGCAATGCCTAAGCGGCACCTGCCACGTTCACGCCCAATCCCCTTACCTCTTCCTGCGCCAGCAGCATCTGGCTGGAGAAGAGCTGCAGGCGCTCGCTGGCGAGGTTGTTGCACAGTTGCTCCAGGCCATTCACCCGCAGGGCCTAGGGGCGTGCGGCAGTGAGGTGGGCACATGGGGCTGGCAGGGGCCAGCACATAGGCCTGTGCCCTTCCCACCACCCCAGAGGCTTCCTTCATTCTGGCCAGGGCGCAGGGATGAGTAATGCCCAGGGCTGGTGCTGTGTAGCCAACAGGGTCAAGTCCAAAGGCTCCAGCACAGCACATGGGCTACCTCAGCCCCGCCTAGCCCAGCCACAGGTCCCTCTAGTTGCCCACACCCCTGCCCTCTGCTGCAGCACTCCTGTGAGCCTTCGGGCCTCCTGTCACAGCCATCCTGTGGCTTGGAAGGCGCCTTTCCCTACTAACTAGCAGGCTGGCTATCAGAGTCCCGCATCCTCATGAGCAGGACTCCAGGCTGCTGCCTCCAGGAAGCCTTCCAGGCTTCCTCCTATAGGGATTACAGGCGCCTTCCTCTGTGCTCCCTCAGCACTCTCCTAGGAAGCTTCATGCAGCTTTGTCCACCCTTGAAACACACACACAGGAGCTCGGCTGCATACACAGGCCACCGTCACCGCCAGCCTCAGGGAGGGCATGGTCACGAGGACACACTGGAGTGTGGGACAGAACAGGGGGCCATGAATAGTGCCCGTCCAGAGACTGAGGGCAGGGGCCACCTCCTCTCCCTCCAGCCCCTTCCTGGCTGTCCTGAGGCAGCAGGATCCTCTGTAAAGGGATGTAGAGTCTCTGCCAACTCAGACTGATGGGGGACTCTCCCTCTTCCCTTTCCTCCTAGCGTGCGGGAAGTGGGGTTGCGGGCGGGCCCACCCTGGGGCCTCTGTCTTCCACTGCCTTTGAGGCTCCTGTGTCTCTGCAAGGCCAGGGAGGACAGGCCATGCTGAAGGCAGGACCAGCCAGAGTGGGACAGAACGGCTGCCCTAGAGCACACAGCTCTCTCATGGACCATCTCCATTAAGCCTCTGAAACTCACAAGGTAGGTCCTGCTGGGATTTCTAGTTTATAGATGGGAATGCTGGACCTCAGAAAGGTTCATTCACTTGCCCAAGGCCACACAGCTAGTGAGTGGCAGGACCACTTCGAACCTCTGCTCTGTCTGCTGCACTAAGCAACTCTTCCCAGCAGGACAGCACAGGCCAGACTGGGGCTTGTGGTGGGCTCCAGCCATCCCAGAGAAGCCAAGAGCGCTCCCAGCCCAGGCTGCCCAGCCCAACACCAGAGAAGGGAGCAGAGGCCATGCTTGGATGAACGTGGGTGTGGGGCGGGGGGCATTGTCCTCTGGAGGTGAGTGGAAGCAAGAACTCCAAGGTGCGCAGCCAGTCCAAGTCCTCAAGAGATTCTAAATCTCCAGAGGCAGCCCTGCTCCTTTTCCTCTCCATCCCTGCACCCCACCCCAGCAGGCTCAGCCCAGCAGATGCAGAAGGAGCCCTGAAGGCGCCCTGCCAGACAGGCAAGCACCTCACGAGCACCCCCAGGGAAAGCTGGAGCTGTGGGGGTCCCAGAAATCCATCAGAATTATATGGGTGCCCCCTTTTCTGGGCCCCACCCCAAGGGGTGACCTCAAAGCCGTAGGCATCCACGACAGTGATGGTGCCAGTGCTGCCTTCCTCCCCTGGTGGTGCCAGCCGTGCATTGGTCCGCCTCAGAAGCTGGTGGAAGAGGCGCGAATACAGGGCCTTGGCCAGGGCGTCCCTGTAGGCATGGCGGGAGGTGAGCCACGTAGAACCGTGCCCCGGGCCCTGCTCTGACTCTCATCCGTCTCTAGGGTCACCTGGCATCAATGGCGCCTTCCATGGGCAGGGATCGAGAGACCTGGCCATAGGGCGTCTCCTGGAGGGCAGAGGAGGCACAGCTGGTGTGTCAGGCCCACAGCCCTCAAGGTGCTTACTCAGTCTGCAGGTCGGCCAGGCCAGACCCCTCTCCCCAGGACCCTCGGGCTCACCGTGACCCTCCTGGTGACAGCCCCCTCCAGGCACTCTGGTGGTACCCGCAGCAGCCGGGCTGCTGTGTGGATCTCAGCCCAGCTAGACACAGCAGCCACCTCCTGGGACTCCCGCTACACAGAGAGGGAGGGACAGGGAGAGCTCTGCTTCAGGAACGGACACACTCCCCAGGCAGGGCAGGCCAGGCTTTGCCTGGCAAGTGGCCCTGTCACCCAAAGGGGAGATAGTCACATGAGGAGATCTGGGCCGTTAGGAGCCAGGCTGTGGTTCTCAGGGCCCTGAGTTCGAGTCCTACTTTCCCTCTTCGCTGGCAGACAGCTCTGGCCAGGCTCCTTCCTTCCTGCACCCCCATGGCCTCACTGCTAAAGGGGAAGCAGTAACCCTTGCTAGGGGGTTGTCTCACAAACTAAATTAGAAAACAAATGCAAAGTGATCTACACAGTGCTGGGTACATAATAGCTGCTTGTTCACTTCTTTTATTTTTTTTGAGACAAGGTCTCACTCTGTCACCCAGGCTTGAGTGCAGTGGCACGATCATGGCTCACCACAGCCTCCACGTCCAGGGTTCAGGTAATTCTTCCATCTCAGCCTCCCCAGTAGCTGGGATTACAGGCACATGCCACCATGCCTAGCTAATCTTTTTTTTTTTTTCTTCCAAGACCGAGTCTCGCTCTTGTTACTCAGGCTGGAGTACAATGGCGCGATCTCGGCTCACTGCAACCTCTGCCTCCCACGTTCAAGCAATTCTCCTGCCTCAGCCTCCCAAGTAGCTGGGATTATAGGCATGTGCCACCACGGCCGATTAATTTTGTATTTTTAGCAGAGACAGGGTTTCACCATATTGGTCAGGCTGGTCTCGAACTCCTGACCTCAAGTGATCTGCCCATCTCGGCCTCCCAATGTGCTGGGATTACAGGCATGAGCTACCACGCCCGGGTTTTTTTTTTTTTTTTTTTTTTTTTTTTTTTTTTTTTTTTTTTTGAGATGGAGTCTCGCTCTGTCACCCAGACTGGAGTGCAGTGGCACGATCTCGGGTCACTGCCATCTCCGCCTTCCTGGTTCAAGCAATTCTCCTGCCTCAGCTTCTCTAAGTAGCTGGGACTACAGGCACGTGCCACCACACCCAGCTAATTTTTGTATTTTTAGTAGAGACAGGGTTTCAGCATATTGGCCAGGTTGGTCTCGAACTCCTGAGTTCAAGTGATCTGCCCGCCTTGGCCTCCCAAAGTGCTGGGATTATAGGTATGAGCCACTGTGCCTGGCCTAATCTTTTGATATTTTTTGTAGAGACAAGGTTTTGCCACATTGTCCACGCTGCTCTAGAATTCCTGAGCTCAAGTGATCCACCCACCTCGGCCTCCTGAAGTGCTAGGATTACAGGCGTGAGCCACCAAGGCCAGCCTTTTTTTTTTTTTTTTTTTTAATAGAGATAGGGTTTCTCTATGTTGCCTAGGCTGGTCTCAAACTCCTGGCTTCACACGATCCGCCTGCCTTGGCCTCTCAAAGTGCTGGGATCACAGGAGTGACCCACCATGCCTGACCATAGCTGTTCATCTAATGCCATCTTAGGGGTGGCAGCTTACAGGCACAGACATTGGGAGAGTGGAGAAGCTCTAGGTCTCAGCTTTCTCATCTACACAGTGGGGATCTACCTGCTTTTCAGGGCAGCCCAGCGCTCTGTAGTCTCCTACACACAAGCATTTGGCGTCATTACCACTGCCCTGATTCTGCAGACCCAGCACCCCGGATGGCCCCTGCCCACAGGGAGCCCACCTCTGAGGAGGAGAAGCAGATGTTGCCCAGCTGCAGGACGGCGGCCAGCACAGCCCAGACAGCATTCAACTCCTCCGGGCACAAGCCCAGCCCCTGCAGTGCCTTCACAAGCCCCTCAAAGTCCTGGGCATCCTCCTTGCCTTGGAGCCTGCAAGCCTGGCCCTGCAGGGCACAGCAGGGGTGAGGGGGCGGGGCCTGCCACCCCATAGCCTCCTGCTACTTCTCAGACCTCTGGACCAAGATCCTCCTCTGGGCAGGCCTTCTCCCCGCCACACCACAAGGGCTCCCCATACCTGGTTGAGGTAGTAGTAAGTCTCCGGTCCCTGCAGGGAGAGCCGCTCCCGCTCTATGGAGTCCAGCCCTGCCAGCAGCTCGTAAAAAACATGGAAGCTCCGCTCAGCCTGGGCCTTGGGGGCAGGACTGGCTTAGGGGCTCAGTGCCCTAAGGGCTCAAAGGCCACACCCTGACAGTGGCACCCTCTGCCCTTCCTACTCTGGGAACTGGGGAGGGGTGGATAGAAGGGCCGCCCTTACCTGAAATACCACCCTGGAGGTCTCAAGTAGATAATGAGACACAGAGGCTCCCACGATGACCCCTCTGGGGGCACAGAAGATGGGTGTGAGTGCCCAGGATGCAGACCACCCAGGGGCCTCGTGCACAAGAAGCCCTACGAGAGTCTGGACCCCAGGGAAGAAGCCCAAGGACCCAGCAAGGGTACGTGATTGTAGGTGCCCCCTGTAACCCTGCCACTCACTGCTGTAGGTAGAGGCAGAAGACCTGGCCGAAGCGGCTGGCATTGGCATTGAGGATGGTCTTGGCATGGCCAAAGCTGCTGAGTATGGGCAGCACATCCTCCACCTGTACAAGGAGGGGTCTTCAAGCATCCCTGGGCAGCAGTAGCCCCCACCAGCAGGCATCCCAGCTAGGGGCAGGTCCAGGGAGGCGTCAGTCCCATCAGAAAGGGCAGTGCCTTCAGCTGACCCCAGGAGACGCCAGAGGCCTGGAGACCACCCCTCTCCTGGCTGAAAGAAGAAAGATAATCCCTCGGACATGGTCAGCTGTCTCCTGGAGGGAGACAGATGGCCAGCTCGGCCCATGAGGTGCCTCCAGCCTGGCTCTCACCTGACACCCTCGGTTCCGCGTCTGATCCTGCTCCAGGCTGCTTAGGAATTGCACGATCTTTTTGGAGGCTTCTGTCTTCCCTGAGCCGCTGTGCCCACTGCAGCGGGAGGAGCTAAGGATGTGTTGGTTGGTAGGGTCTCCAGGGAGGGGCACGTAGGACCACCCCACTGAATCCAGGAAGTGGGATGTGCCACCCAGAAGTGACAGCTAGCCTGGAGAGACCCCCAGAAATGTGGAAAGAGTCCCAGAGCATGGAGAGACCCAACAGAAAGAAAAGTCCCCAAGATGCCACATTCCAGGGGCTCATGCGATGATTTCAGCTGGGAGCTCGGCCCTGTGGAGTCCAGAACTGTAGCCCGGCAATGGAGCAGACCAGTGGCTTCCAGGGAAGACCTCAGGCTCCGCCCCACCAACCCTCAGTGTGGCCCATGGGTTCAGCCACGCAGGACGGCCACCACTCACCGCAGGAGGATGCATGGGTCCTGCCCGGTATGCTGAGCCAGGTCATAGGCTGATGCCACGATGGCAAAGATATGTCTGAGGGAGATGAGAAGGTTGCCAGACATGGGGACCTGGGACCCTCCGAGGTGTAGCAGAGGTACTCACAGGCCCTGGGACCTCAGTCAAGGGGACATGCAGGGACTGGGCTGTCTGGGAGGTGAGCAGAGGGTCAATGGGGCAGAGTCACATACGGGGTGGTGCTGAGGGCCTTCCTGGGGTGGTAGCTTGCCTGGACCTCAGGTGAGAAGAGAGGCAAGGGTCGATGGGGGTTCAAAACAAGCAAGAGGGGCCCCCCAAAAGTCTGGGGAGGAAAACAAGGTGTCATCAGAGTGTGGAGGGAGCAGGGGGAATGTAAACAGAGCTCAGCCCCCAGGTCCCACTCTGCAGGGCTCCAGAGAGGGTTCAGCGCCCAGCCCCGAGAGGAAGAGAAAAGAGAACCTCCAGGGGTGCTGGGGAGCCCTCTGTTCCCAGAGGAAAGGGGATCCCGGCCCACTGTCCCTCCCCGTGGCTCCCCATACATAGATTCGGCCCAGGTGAAATCTCTTCTTTAGGCACAGCAGCACAGAGCTGTCACACATCAGCCTGTGGGGACAACAGGGTGGAGGGACAATGAATTGTGGCTGCAGGAGGTTGTGAGTTAGTTCTGCTACCCACTGCAGGGACACGTCAGGCAAGTCATTCAACCTCCCAGAGCCTGATCCATAAAATGAGGGCTGGTCTGTCAAGTAATGGGGAGGCTACAAGTAGGGCTGGCGCTGACCCAGAAGGAAGCTTTGTACTAACTAGAAAGGCAGTCCTGGGGAGGTAGCATCTGTCGCCCCTCACCTGCCCCTTCCTGCCAGGAGGGTTCAAGCCCATCCTTCTAAGGATTCAATAAGGGTCTACACGCAATTCATAAAGATGAGGGCAGGGTGGGTATGAGGAGCTGTGAGCCGAGGATGGCAGCTTTGGCACCGAGCCCGCTCACCGCAAGCGGGCCAGGTCCTCCATGTCTTCTAGGCCGTCTCCAAGGCTCCTGCCCTCGGCACCGGGGAAGGATGGCGCCTCCAGGCCCGGCCCGAGGCTTAGCTCCAGGTCCCTCTCCAGCACTGCCTCGTCCTCATCCTCGGGTTCCCACCGCTCCCTCAGGGACCCGCAGAGGCCCGGGTCTCCCTCCTGCTGCAGGCGGGTCTCCAGGGCGAGTCGGGGCAGCAGCACGGCGGCGCCAAGCCTAGGACCCTTGCGGGGACCGGAGCCCTGCGCCCAGTGCACCGGGGGCTCGTCGTCCAGGGTTTCCGACTCCGCCTCACTGCTGGAGCCGCTCTCATCGAGCGAGGGCCCGTCGGGGGCAGTCGGGGCGAGGAGGGAGCCACGACGAAGCACGGACACCCCTTCCTCACTCGCCCTGCGCCCCTCACTGTGCCCCCCTGCCCCTGCACGAGGCCAACTTCGGCCTTTCCCCGTGGGGGCATCTGTGGACGCTTCTTCAGAGCTACGGCTGCTCGACGCCCGCCCTGCCCTGTGGATCCTGGGGAACACGACTGCGAACTTGGGATCTGGAGTTCCGTCCTCCTGATCGAAAGGGTCGTCGGGGACTGGGCTTGTCCGGACCTGCGGGGGTCGCGAGAGGACGCCAGGAGGAGCCCTCGGCCTACCCCCGAGCCCTGCCAAGCCGGCCAGGCGCAACGCTAGACGGTGCCGCAGCCCGGGCTCAGGGCCCCGCCCCTCGCCCCCTCTCTCGTGGTCCCGCCCCTCGTCCCCTCTCTCGCAGCCCCGCCCCTCGTCCCCTCTCCCGCGGCCCCGCCCCTCGTCCCCTCGCTTGGGACCCCACCCCTCGCTTCCTCTCCCATGACCCAGCCCGTCGTCCGCTTTCCCGCGGCCCCGCCCCTCGCTTCCTCTCCCATGACCCAGCCCGTCGTCCGCTTTCCCGCGGCCCCACCCCTCGCTCGCCCGTGGCCCCGCCCCCTGCCCCTCGCCCTCTGGCGGCCGCGGCCGCAGCAGGAGCCGCCGCCGCAGCCAGCGCAGGAGGCCCAGGGCTCGCGCTACACTCAGGAGCCGCTCCTTGAGGCCAGCGCGGCGGGGGCCCACGGCCTGGGAAGTGGTGCCTGGCGGGGACCTCGCGAGGAGCCTGCGGACCACCAGGAGGGCCGCCAGCGGGGCTGGGTCCTCCGGCCCCGCTCCCGCGGGGGCTCCTGCTTCGCCCTCCCCTGCCGCCGCTGGCACCCGCCCCGCCGCCTTTCTGACCCGGTGGCGCGGAGCCCGGGCCGTCGAGGCCTGCATTGTTTCAGGCTTGGCGCCCTGCTGCGCCCGGTTGTCGCTCGCGTCCTGGGCCGGCCCGGTATCACGAGGAGCCCGCGAGCTGCCCTCGAAGGTCCTGGAGGCCATAGCTGCCCGGGGGCCCCGTCCAGGTCCGGTCTCCAGCAGACTGGAGTCGGAGTCGCCCCCGGAATGCTCGCTGGCTCCAAGGGGCCCCGTCCCTGACGACCCTTCCAGGCCCCAGGGATCTGCGCGGGGCCAGTTGCTGTCCAGGCTGTCGCTGCTTGGCTCCAGCGCTGACTCCGGCCCGGTTTTTGTCCCTTCCGAGCCCGTGACCCTAGGCTCCAGGGTGGGCCGCAGCTCCTGGGCTCCGCTGCGCTGGCTGCCGCTCTCCTGGGCCTCGCGGGCTTCGCTGTCCGGACAGGAGCTGCCTCCGTCCCCACCCGACGTGTCCCCATCGAGGCTCCGGGGCGCCCGGCGGCCCCGCTGAGCCGAGGGCCCCGGATCTTTCCCCTTCCTCCTACGGCGGCCGCCCCGCCCTTCTCCTCGGGAGAGGCTGCCTTCCTCCAGGCGCCCCCTGCGGCCGCCCCTGGGCCCGCGTCCCTCACGCCGCGCGCTGCCTTGCCTCTCCTGGGCCTCTGGGGGCGACCCAGCCCCTGGGCGTCTGCAGCCGCCGTTCTCCTCTGCGATGGGCTTCCTACGGCCACCAGCAGTTCCCTGGCCCCCGGCGGTGGCGGGCTGGGCGGCCGGTCTCGCCCTGACCGCCTGGCCGCGATCGGATCGCCGTTCCTGGCTGGGCGCGCCGTCCGCGCTGGCCGACCCCGACTCCTGCTCCCCTGAGGCCGGCCTCCCGGGCCTCGCCAGGCGCTGGTGCGCTTTGCCCTGGTTCCTGCCCATGGCTGGCCCAGAGGAAGCGGGCTTCGTGACGCCCGGGTCCTCTCCCCTCCCTGGGGATCTGGCCGCCCGCGGTGACCCTCTGTGCAGTGCACTACCTCGGCTCTGCTCTCGCAGGGGCTACAGGCTCCTTCTACTCCCCAGCGTGCCCGCCTTACAGGACCATCAATAATGCAGAGGGCGGCGGGTCCTGACCCCCTCGGCCAACAATGGAGCAGAGGCTCCCAGGAAACAGGAGACGCTGCGGCTGCGGACAGGGCAACCGTGCCACCGGGAGGCGCTGCCAGCCAGGCCAGCCTGGCACCGCGCCAGACTGAGGGGGCCCATGCTCCACTCCCACTTCAGTGCTTGCCCAGCAGGGAAGGGCCCAGAGAACCTGTCTGGACCTCTTCCTTCTGGGGGTTCCAGGGGTCTGGGACCAGGCCCACCCTAGCACATGGCAGCACTCCATGAATCCTTAGGGTTTTTGTTCTTTTCAATTGTGGAATAAATACAATTTACCGAAAAGTGGATAAAACATAAATGTACATCTTGAACTGGTGTAAAACATGCCTGTCTGCATCCTTGGAGTTATGGAACAGAATCACACCCCATAAATTCCTGATTGCCCCAATGTGTGTGTTTTTAAAATACCTATTTTTAAAACAGGTAATACATTCACATCATTCAAACATCCAAACATCACAAGATAAGTCTCCCATTCCTGACCCTCAGCGTACTCAGTGTTCCCCTGAGGTTACCCATTTCTGTATTTCCTTGCAAAACTTTCCATGCTGGCCAGGAGTGGTGGCTCACATCCCTAATCCCAGCACTTTGGGAGGCCGAGGTGGGCGGATCACGAGGTGAGAAGATGGAGACCATCCTGGCTGACACGGTGAAACCCCGTCTCTACTAAAAATACAAACAAATTAGCCCGGCGTGGTGGCGGGCGCCTGTAGTCCCAGCTACTCTGGAGAGGCTGAGGCAGGAGAATGGCGTGAACCCAGGAGGCGGAGCTTACAGTGAGCTGAGATCACACCCCTGCACTCCAGCCTGGGCAACAGAGCAAGCTCTGTCTCAAAAAAAAAAAAAAAAAACAACAACTTTCCATGCAGAGAAAAGCAAATATATTTTTCCCATTTAGCATAAGTGGCAGCTTATGTAGCTCAGGGGTCTCCACTTTGCCTTTTTCACTTAACAATGTAACCTGGTGATTTCATAATAATACCGTAAAAAGCCAGCCTGCCTGCCTCCCTTCTTTCCTCCCTCTCTTCCTTGCAAATAAATGCACCATGGTTGAACCAATGCCTTATTGATAGGTTTTTATATCTAAAGTGGATCCTGGCCAAGCGAGATGGCTCACACCTGTAATCTCAGCACTTTGGGAGGCCGAGGTGGGTGGATCACCTGATGTCAGGAGTTCAAGATCAGCCTGGCTAACATGGTGAAACCCCATCTCTACTAAAAATACAAAAATTAGCTAGGTGTGGTAGCGGATGCCTGTAACCCCAGCTACTCAGGAGGCTGAGGCAAGAGAATTGCTTGAACCCAGGAGGCAGAGATTGCAGTGAGCTGAGATTGTCCCACCCTACTCCAGCCTAGGTGACACAGCAAGATTCCCTCTCAAAAAAAAAAAAAAAAAAAAAAGTAGATCCTGCCTTCATCTCATCTTTTGCTTAAGTTACAGCCAATATTGGAATAGAATTTCACCAGATTCTGCGTAGAATCAACTATGAGTAGAATTGCTGCACCATAGGGCACATACATTTGCAATTTTGAGGTTTCCAAATTTTTCTCCACAAAGGTTGTGCCAATTTATATTACCACCGGCACAACAGGGGAGACCACCATTCTTTTCCAACACTCTGAAACATGACAAAATTTCAGTGCCGCTTTGAAGAAATAAGATCTAGTTATCAATAGATCAGTAGAATGACTATAGATAACATTAATCCATTGTACATTTCCAAATAGCTAGAAGAGAACAGTTGGGAGAAAAGCTGAGTGTTGGGAGAGAAGCTGAGGCAGGGCTTGCATGTCTGCTAGACTTTAGCTCCTTGCTTCTAGCACTCCCATTATCTCAAGTAGCCATATGTTTCTTGTTCACTTGATACACTGTTTCCTTTCAACCCCCACATCCTGACCACCTGTTTCTTTATTTGAGCACCAATAAATAGCCTGGGCTCCCAGAGATAGAGGCCTTTGCAGCCTCCACACTCACGATTGTCCCCTGGTCCCACTTTCTCTCTCAAACTGTCTTTTTTCATTCCTTTGACTCCGATGGACTTTGTGACTCCCATGACCTGGTGTTGGGTCTGATCACCCCAACAGAAAATGATTCAAATGTTCCTAGTATTAAAAAAAGAAAAATAGCCAGGTGCGGTGGCTCACGCCTATAATCCCAGCATTTTGGGAGGTCAGGAGATTGAGACCATCCTGGCTAACGTGATGAAACCCCATCTCTACTAAAAATACAAAAAATCAGCTGGGCATGTTGGCAGGTGCCTGTAGTCCCAGCTACTTAGGAGGCTGAGGCAGGAGAATGGTGTGAACCTGGGAGGCAGAGCTTGCAGTGAGCCAAGATTGCACCACTGCACTCCAGCCTAGGCGACAGTGCGAGACTCGGCCTAAAAAAAAAAGAAAGAAAAGAAAAATAACGTGACAGATACCCTAATTTTGATTATATGAATATATCAAATTATCACATGTACCCCCCAAATAAGTACATGTAATATGTATCAATAAAAAATAATTTTAAAAAATAAAATAAAGGCCGGGCACGGTGGCTCACGCTTGTAATCCCAGCACTTTGGGAGGCCAAGACTGGCGGACCACGAGGTCAGGAGATCCAGGCAATCATGGCTAACACAGTGAAACCCCGTTTCTACTAAAAACACAAATTAGTCGGGCGTAGTGGTGGGCACCTGTGGTCCCACCTACTTGGGAGGCTGAGGCAGGAGAATGGTGTGAACCCAGGAGGCGGAGCTTGCAGTGAGCCGAGATCGTGCCACTGCACTCCAGCCTGGGTGACTGAGCGAGACTCCAAATAGAATTTCACCAGATTCTGCGTAGAATCAACTATGAGTAGAATTGCTGCACCATAGGGCACATACATTTGCAATTTTGAGGTTTCCAAATTTTTCTCCACAAAGGTTGTGCCAATTTATATTACCACCGGCACAACAGGGGAGACCACCATTCTTTTCCAACACTCTGAAACATGACAAAATTTCAGTGCCGCTTTGAAGAAATAAGATCTAGTTATCAATAGATCAGTAGAATGACTATAGATAACATTAATCCATTGTACATTTCCAAATAGCTAGAAGAGAACAGTTGGGAGAAAAGCTGAGTGTTGGGAGAGAAGCTGAGGCAGGGCTTGCATGTCTGCTAGACTTTAGCTCCTTGCTTCTAGCACTCCCATTATCTCAAGTAGCCATATGTTTCTTGTTCACTTGATACACTGTTTCCTTTCAACCCCCACATCCTGACCACCTGTTTCTTTATTTGAGCACCAATAAATAGCCTGGGCTCCCAGAGATAGAGGCCTTTGCAGCCTCCACACTCACGATTGTCCCCTGGTCCCACTTTCTCTCTCAAACTGTCTTTTTTCATTCCTTTGACTCCGATGGACTTTGTGACTCCCATGACCTGGTGTTGGGTCTGATCACCCCAACAGAAAATGATTCAAATGTTCCTAGTATTAAAAAAAGAAAAATAGCCAGGTGCGGTGGCTCACGCCTATAATCCCAGCATTTTGGGAGGTCAGGAGATTGAGACCATCCTGGCTAACGTGATGAAACCCCATCTCTACTAAAAATACAAAAAATCAGCTGGGCATGTTGGCAGGTGCCTGTAGTCCCAGCTACTTAGGAGGCTGAGGCAGGAGAATGGTGTGAACCTGGGAGGCGGAGCTTACAGTGAGCCGAGATTGCACCACTGCACTCCAGCCTGGGCAACAGAGCAAGACTCCATCCCCCCCAAAAATTAATTAATTAATTAATTAATTAAAATAAAATAAAAATAAACTCAGTGCCTCTTTAAGCTCATTTCTCTGTGAAAATAAGCAGCTCTCCCGCTCTTAGAGCCACTTTGCTTCCTTTTCTGAGACCACCCTTTTCTCATCCTTCCCCATCTCTCTATTCGGTGTGAGCAGGTCTGTTTCTTTTTTGAGACAGAGTCTCGCTCTGTTGCCCAGGCTGGAGTGCAGTGGCGCGATCTCGGCTCACCGCAACCTCTGCCTCCCAGGTTCAAGTGATCCTCCCACCTCAGCCTGTAACTGGGATTACAGGCATGCACCACCATGCCCTGCTAGTTTTGTACGTTTAGTAGAGATGGGGTTTCACCATGTTGCCCAGGCTGGTCTTGAAGGCCTGGCCTCAAGTGATCTGCCCAACTTGGCCTCCCAAAGTGGTGGGATTACAGGTGTGAGCCACCTCGCCCGGTCAGGACTGTTTCTTGATGATTAGACTGTTAAACCTGGGCAGGATTTGTGAGGCCACTTGAGAGCTCTGGGGCCAGGCAGCTGTGCAGGGGCAGGTTCAGGGCACCCACGATGGAATCCGATGAGTCATCCAGGTGAGGCCTGTGACCTACCCCACAGGGACTTCCGTGCCCCCACGCCCCCACTGACCGGCTTGCTATGGCCTTTCCTCACCAGGAGCAGCACCCAGCACGGAGCAGGGGAGGTGACATTCCAGACTGCGGCACTTTCCCTCAGAATGCTCTCGTCAGCCCATGCCTGCCTTACGCCCATCTCTCTGCACACCTCCTAGAACCAGATTCAGACCTGGTTGCAGCTGTTGCCAGCGCCCACGTTGCCTGAGAGGGCTGTTCACAGCCCAGAGGCCAGTTTTGAGCAACAAGTTGACAGTGATCTGGCCTTTGCAGTCTGCATGCTCAAGGAGGCAGCCTTCTGGAGAGGGAGGCAGCTGTTCCAAGGACTGCGAGCTCACGGGTAACCTCAGCCTGTAGACGTCTGCAAGCTGTACTCCCCCATTGCCAGCTGTGCCGGGGCAAAGGAC